ATGTCATCTTTAAAACAAGGTTCACCTCTGCAGGGTACCTGCGTATGTACCATAAGAAAAACATGATTAAAAAAATAGAAACTTTCACCAGGCTATACCAAAGCATTAGTCTACTAATTTTTGACCACGACTTCGTCCTCGTAAGAAGTGCTTATAGTGCTCAATAACGCCATAAATGAATATTTCGTGTACCTAAACTTGGGTGTAATAAATATTCATACAATTGTAATTTACCATTTTATTTTATCATCTATACACATAAAAGTTTCTTTTTTTCCATAGCAACTCTTAAAACTGCCTTATTATATCTATCCACACAAAAATAGTAGAAAAAATAGTACTTTAACCGCAAGGGTACATTAAATGATACATAGGTTAAAAGCTTTATTTCTTCTCGCACGTTTTTTAATTGCTTCCATTTTTGAAAATTTTTGTAGTCCTTTTCATAAGTTATTCGGGATTTAAATGGAAGTAGTTTGGATATGGCGCTTGTCGCCTCAGCCTGAATATCTGTTGGTAATTTACTTATTTGGTTTTGAGCCATTTCTGGCTCCAATTCAATCAGCAATCGACACGAAAGAGAATTAAAAAATATTGACTCACAACTGACAACTAAAGAGACATCTTTATTTATTTGTCAAATTACATAGAAACAAACGCCAACCCAACACAATATTTTTAGCCGACCGACCATACCAATAGGTATGGTAGGCTATTAAGGTCGGCAAAAAAAAAGTTTTTTTAATTTCCCTCAAAATGAGTTATTGGGGGTCATAAATGACCTAAATACAAAATATTTTCATGATGTCTGTCTGTCTGTAACACGATAACTCAAAAACCGCTAAACCGATTTTAACCAAATTTGGCACAAAAATACTGTGGCACCCGAAAATCTGGCCATTAGTTTTTGGTGGGGGTGAGGGGTTGGTAAGGGGGTATTGGGGGGGGGGGGGTAAATTGCATAATGCTTTTTATTTTATTGCTTTTCAGTCGACGATAAAATACCGACGATAAAATAATCGTCTTGTATAAAAAATAACTAATAGTGCTCAATAAGGTCATAATTCATTATTTTATGTTACTAGATTTAGATAGAACCAATTTTCACACCAATTTCTCTTCCTCGTTTCAAACTCTAAAATTTCCAACTGTTTGAGAGCTAAAACCTGGATATTGAAGAAGAAGAAGAGTGTTTTATGGTTAAAACTAGTGATGAGCTAACGCAAGATCAATTTGCATTAATCTTGTAGTATAAGTAGTAGTCAGTATAAGTAGTAGTCTGGGTTTTGGTCTTACAGAGTCCAGTCTTAGTCTTGGTCTTCGTCTCACGGAAGATTCTTGTGAGTCTTGCATTTTTTAATAGATTCTTTCTAGGTGCACTTATATATTCTAATTATAAATATATTTGCAACCTAACAATTTTTTTTATTTTTCAATACATTATTGAAATGGAACTTCTTTACGCTCGATGGGAGTAAAAATTGAAGGCCGTGACACACGAGACGCGAGAGGAAAAGTGTAACGATCGGAGGTTATGACGGAACGTCGTTACTTATCGTGCCCTATGTGAGCTAGGGGTCCGAAACTCGGAATGTAGATATCTTTTCATGTTTTCATGATATTTTGACGACGTTTTGTGTACTATGAAACTCCATCATCAATGGCGAAAGAATCTTCAAATTTAATGGCTCTTTGGAGCGTCATAACTCGGGCCCGATGTGAGCTAGGGGGCTGAAACCCAGAAGAAAATGTTCATGATATTTTGGCAACGTTTCGTGCACTACGAAACCCCATCATTATAGATAAATCAAATAAAAAAAAATCGTCCGATTTAAATGAAATTTGGTATGTCGATAGACTGGACCCAGGCCGACTTGACTTGTGTACGACACGTATCACTGTAACAGTTAGTTTTGACGTAAGAAACGTCAAAAGTTGACGTCATCCGATCCCGACCAAATTTGGTAGGTAGGCTATGTGAGCGACCGTGCACACGGTCCCACCCTGCAAAGTTGAATACCACGTTTCGTTTACAACTTCATCAGGGTGGGACTAAGGATTTGATATTGAAGAAAAATTTGAGTCGATTTCAGCATAATTGGGGACGGGCTACAGGATGACGCCCTCGACATTTCGAACCGATGCCTCCAAATGAACGAAATCATCAGGAGTTTGCTTAATTATGGAGCCAAACTAGGCACGTGGATAGAGGTACCCGAATAATAACGCCATAGACGGACAAACGGGCAGACGGAAGTTTCACTTCAAATATGCCCATGCACACTCAATTTTTTATATTCAATCAGTATTTCTTTCTTTAAGGTTTATGTAATAGTCGGAAAAACACTATTTGTAATAAATTAAAAAAATAATTTTGAACAAATAAGTAATATCTTATATCATATTAGACGTAAAAACAAATGCATGACTGCAAGAGATCTTGCATGCTTGGTCTTGACTAGGTCCTGCGGAATAACTTGACTTAGTCCTCCAAAAATGTTTTTTATATCTACTGGTGGGTAAATGAATTTGTAGATATAGTATGACTTTTTTTGAAACTTTAGTTTCGGAGATATAAATTTAATCTTGTACTGTTCGCCGGTCTTGGTCTTGCAGATCAAATGCTAGTCTTGGTATTGCTTTTTGTGCCAATATCAAGACAGAGTCTCGCTCATCCCTAGTTAAAACCCAAGAACAGTCAACCTTATACGGTTCTTGGGTAAAACCTGAAAATTGAATGGATTAACGGATTATGAGATTTTTGGTAGCTAGTGCTTGAAAATTCGAAAAGAATAATAGTGTTTTGGTCTCTGATATCATTAAACAATGCAATTTAAGCAAGGAATTTTAAGGATTTTTTGTTCTTAAGATTCGAAGGACCGCTAATCGATAAAACATATCAAGTACTAATCAATTTACCGTTGGAATTCTGCGAAGAAATCAGATAAGTAGAGTCACAAGGCGGTTTCTGTAATTAATACTGAACGAGCTAGGGAAAAATCGTATTGGTAGAAATGTACACGTATGGCAAAGGAGAGAATGAGATAATGACAAGGTTCGAAAAGCGCGTTACGTAACCTTTTAATAAATTAATAATATGAAATAGGCGGGCACTATAGGTGGCATCCATCGCCGCTTATAGTACCAAGCAGGGTGCCTGTTTTCTCCATGTCTCTCTGTTATAACAGTTAGAATAATTAATGGTAGTCACATGCTATACACCAATTATTACTTTTCTTATACGCAGTATCCTTCTTAACAATACCTATAGACCACAGTTCGTAAAATTTTTTTTAAAAAAAAAATCCCCAAATTAAGAAGGAAAAGCGTAAATTTGGCAATGTTTATGGTATATGTTTCTAATCTAAAGGTAAGCCCCCGAGGCTCCGCCAAAAACCGGGACGTTTTCTCAATGAGAGACGCGTCTCGTTAGATTTCGGAGCGACGCGACGCAGTCTAGTCCGTAGGTCTAGTCGGCTTTGGAATAACGTCACAGGGCGCGCGCGAAAGACTTTGCCGCGATTTTCTACTGTTTTACGCGCTATTTTGTTTTGTTTCAGTAGTTCGTTTGTTTTGGCGCGTGTGAGATTTAGGTCTGTTTTTGACGCGACATTTTCGAATTTGCGCGTATTTTAAACTATAAAAGTGACCTTATGAAAATTAATAATGTGAATTTGTTAACAAGAGTTCAAGAGCTGCTGTATATTGCTATGGAGGCATTTTAAGGATTTATTTCTAGTACTAATACATAACTGTATGAAGAATGGAGTCCTAGATATATTTTCATTAGTATGTTTAGTACCTACTTATTGTTTCTTCAATTTTTAAGCTGCTGGAATTTCATAAAATTTGTTCTAAATGCATAATCTATATCTACTAAGTGGTTTTTGAAATATCACTATTCAGTATCGCATTTTTAAATTTGATTTTTCTCTGAAAATTATAATTATATACCGGGTGCGTTTCAAAAGTGGCTCACCCCTATAACTTTTTTTATTTTTTCAGATAAAACAACGAGATTTGGTTCGTTAGTATATGACATAAATTAGGATTGATTGACATATCAAATTGTTTTCGGCCACTTCCGGTTTAACCGGAAATGACTACAACTTTTGATTTGTAAATGGCACCCTCGGTATTTTTTTTACTTTATTCGATAGAAAATGACACTCTGAATAGAACGACGTATCATATGTCAACTTTTGACATTTTTGCATATGGATTATTTGAAATTGCTACATGCGGTTCGACAATTACCGACTATCGACAATTACCGACTCGAAATACCAAGTGTGTGGTATCAAATTATTCGTAAAAAAATGCTTTTTCCAAATATGCTAATAAGCCACCCTCGTTCCATTTGAAAAAATTGATATAGGATTAAAAGTACGATATGGGCATCTTTTAACCGGCCAGGACAAGACACTAAAAACATTAGACGATCAATTCTATTTTTTCAAGGCTCCTTGATTAAAAATTAGTGTTTTTAACACAGCCATACACTCTAGATTGAAATTTAAAATACAATTTGTTTTTGAACGAATATGTCAAAAGCTGACATATGATATGTCATTCGATTCAGGGTATTATTTTCTATCGAATAAAGTAAAAAAACACCGAGGGTGCCATTTAAAAATCAAAAGTTGTAGTAATTTGGAAACAGGAAGTGACCAAAAACAATTGAATACATCAATCAATCCTAATTTATGTCATATACTAACATACCAAATCTCGTTTTTTTATCTGAAAAAATAAAAAAGTTATAGGATTGAGCCACTTTTGAGACGCACCCGGTATATATAAAAGAGAATTAATTTTATTATTTAATTAGAAATATTTTATACATATTTCAACATTATTATTTTACATACAGGATGAGTCCAGTTATAATTGGCATAAATATATACAGAGTATCTTTAAAAAATTTTAAAAAACACTACTACTAATACTTCCATATATTATTAATTGTTTAACTCATATCCTTTTCTCGGTACTTTCAGGACCGTTTGACAGCCGGAGGTCACGGATCCCTGACCATCGGGGGCGGCTCTCCCGCCTCCTACGGCGCCGCTACCGGCTCAGGGGCGGCTGGATCTAGGGGCGGCTCTGGGGCGGCCGCTCTACATCACGCGGCCGCCATGCAGCACCAGCTACCCCAGCCGGACTTCCAGCCGCCCTATTTTCCGCCGCCCTTCCATCATGCCCCCAGTCCGCCGCCTCAGCAGCATTTGGAGTACCTTACAGATCCCTACGGAGGTCTCGGAGGATTGCACCATTATAATCAACTTGGTTTGAGGCCTAGAGATGGTGATCCTAACCATACTCACGTGGTAAGTTGTTTTAAATGTGATATTGACTCAAAAATAAAGAATGTATAAAATCGTTCACAAACAGCATATACAGGGTGAGTCTTAAATAATTGCAAATATTTTCAGGACTGGTAGATCTCGAGAAAAGAATCATATTTTCTCTTTACCGTTTTTCAATTAACTCCAAAACAACCGAGTTATTTTACTTTAAAAAAAATGATTTTTTTTGTTAAATTTTGAGAAGTCTTGTAAGAATTTTTTGTAAATTTAATCTACTAGCGAATGTTGCCATATTATCAAGTTATAGATCATACCAAATAAACTTTTAGTCACGTGATTAAGCTTGACCGGCACAGTGTTGCCCAATTTTTACATGTTTTTTAATCAAAGTATTTTAGGAAACAAAAATAAATTAATTATAAATAATAAATATATAAACGGTTATTATTGGCATCGACAAAACTCACCTCTTTAACAGCACTTAAGGGACATAAAGAGCCATTACTACCACTTTCCCGTTCAAAATATTCTAATACGGTTACGATGAGTTTTTTGCAACGGCTATTAAGCTATCTTGTACCACTTTGAACTAAAAGAGGTTCTAAAAAGAACAATGTTTGTATGCTAGTAAAAAAAAAATTTTACTACAGTTTTCCAAACCGGGATTTCAGGATCCCGGTTTGGAAACCCTATTCACCTGTAACAACTGAAACCATAACATTTAAGTTAACTACTAACTAGTAAATAAATGAACAGTCACGCCACGATAGGTAGCATAAACCCTAGATCATATAATATATGCTTACGTGGATACGTAAGTCATTATGGAAACTGTCGCAGACATATCAACGACTTACATTTATCTTCTTTCTATGTTATACACGCGCTGCTTCTACTCTATCTATCCTTGTCGAGCACCTATCGTCCACGCGCCAAATTTGAATATTAATTTTAAAATTTAATTTGTAAAATACATATTTTTGAACAATAAATTGAATGTTTACTGCCGCAAAGGATTAAATTATATAAAAAATACATTTAGCCACTACGAATATCAACATTCTTAGGAAATCTAACCAGAAAGTACCGTATGATCGAATAAAAACGGCGTCAACGATGGCTATGAAATGAAGATCGCTGTCATTTTATATGTAAAATTATATGGGAAATGTCATCGATCGTCATTTCCAAGCCAACTGGACGCCGTTTTTTTTCGATCATACGGTATGTGTGTAACGTTATACTTTACTTGCCTATGAATCCTTTATATTACACCTTCCACACACCAAACACTTTCTAGTCATTTTTACAAGTATTTAAAAATAGTAAAAAAAAAAAGTATCACAACACAATTCATTTAAACCAAAAACTCGTAAAACAAACTGATGAAAAAAAGTGTCAAAACGAATGACAGTGTCAGGAATTAAATAAATAAATGTGGCAACTTGACACACTTTTTTATAGTAGAGCTACCACCTGAATCCCCAGTGGGAAATTTAAATTCTAGTTAGTCAGCCCGGCGCCGAATATGTTTATTGTTGGCAACAATAAATTTAAAAATCGCTCCTTTGATTATGTAACTAAAAGTTTAATTTTAGGGTTCTGTACCTCAAAAGGAAAAAATTGGTAAAGTGCGAGTCGGACTCGCGCACGAAGGGTTCCGTACCATTCATTATCTATAGACACTGTATTATTATAAACTTTTTTTCCGATTTAGCTGAAATTTTGAATAAGCGTATAAGTAATTTAAAAAAAATGAAGAAACACATTACTAAAAACTGTATTAATCAATAATAAATATGTAAAAAGTAAAAATAAATATGTAAAAATATGTAAAAATTAAAAAAAAAACGATTAAAAAAAGTCGCCTTGACTAGGATTCGAACCTGCCTTACTACGGCTCCAAGTTCATAGCAGCGTAAAGTCCTAACGCTTTAACCACGCGGCCACCGAGGACTTGAAAGATTCTATATAAAATTCTTACTTAAAAGATAATGTTTAGTGAAAGTAGTTTTTTATTTATAAACATTTATTTAATTGTTTTTAGTATTTGTTCTTATAGCGGCAACATAGATACATTATCTGTGAAAATTTCAACTGTCTAGCTGTAACGGTTCATAAGATAGACCTTTGTGACAGACGAACGGACGGACAGTGAAGTCTTAGTAATAGGGTTCCCGTTTTAAGCCGGAGTCTCATGCATCCGAAATCCGATGACACGACGATCCGACGGTGCTCCTATTGGTCGAAATATTTTGACAACAATTTTTATCCGATAATTTTAACTAATCATCCGACGTCGTATAAAGTTAAATTTTGTTTAACTTTTGTACGATATCGTGTGTTTTTTAACCTCACTTTTTTTGAAAACATTTGTTTTAAAAACAAGTTTAGTGGGAAGTGGGCAATTTCGGGATATTTGGCGAGGAAGTTATTTTTATAAGTGTTTCTCCAATAAAACATGACATGAATCTCTATTCAGCGCAGCAGAAAGATGTTAAAACTGTCAAATTTCGGAACGAACTTTCGGATGTATGTGACAGGCTTTTTTTATTTCACACGATAACTTCAAATTTCGGATGTCGTACCATCGGATTTCGGATGCATGAGACTCCGGCTTTACTCTTTGGGGTACGGAACCCTTACAGGATAATTTTGTTGTCTGTCCTAGTCATCTTGTCTATCTGTCAAGACTCTTTATCTCGGGAATGCGTGGAGGTATCGACTTGAAATTAAAACCATATACTCAAGTCTACAGTCCCTTGAAGCTGTGAAAAAAACAAAGTTCTAAGATATCGTAAAAAAAGATACGGCTGTTTAAGCCGCAAAAAAACGTATATTTCGACACTCTCAAGGGAATCAAACTTTATAGGATATTTTCCGTTGACCTGGAACTATGAAATTTGGCAAGTAATACCATCTTAAACTACAAATATAGGGGAAAATCTGAAAATTTGTAATTAAATCGCAAAAAACAGGGTCTTTATGCAAGAAATCACGGTCCAAATTTTGAATTGAGTTAACCGTGTCATGTGGGGTATCGTATGAAACGGCTTTAAAAAAACGCTGCTTCTGCGATCGAAATATACTACCCCTAAAAATATTTTACCACACTTATTTAAGACTCACCCTGTATATATACATTATACAGGGTGTCCCAGAATTAAGTGCAAGTATTTTAACTTGTAGTATAGTTCAACCCCAGAAACACGCCTATGAGGTTTTCTTCGCGAAACCCTAAATGTTTTGGATTTTTTTTTTGTTTTTAGTTAAAAAACATAATTTCTTGATAATATGGCAACATAGGTATTAGATTAAATTTGCAAGAAAGAAAATCCAGAAAAGATCCAGTGGTTCTAAAAATTTTAGCTAAAAATCTTTTCATGAGCCGTTTTATGAGCCCTTTGGGGTGGTTTTTAAAAAGTTTGTTTTACAGCAAATTGACCCGTATGAAAGTTGTTCATAATAAATGGACAAGCAAGTTTTCCTCATGAATTTTTTTTTGTAGCTTGATTATTTTTGAAGAGAGCGTCCAGTTCATGAACAAATTAGGGTAGTTTTCAATGTTACTCTTTTTTCAGCAAATTCATCCTAGGAAACTCGTTCAAAATAAGAGTACATATTATCTTTGCCTTATGAACCTTTTTTGTAACTTGACTATTTTTGGAGATAGCGCCCAGATCATGAACAAGTGGTGGTAGCTTTAAATGTCTTTTTTTTCAGGAAGTGCTATTGGAAATATTCATTCACTTGCTGAATTCCATGTTTCGTTTTGAGGAAATAAATGCATATCATAAGGAAGTTTGCACGTAATTTTAATATGAACACATTTAAGTTGGTAAATTTGTAGAACTAAACAAAAATTATGAAACTACCCCAATTTGTTCATGAACTGGATCTCCAAAAATAATGAAGCTACAAAAAAAATCATGAGGAAAAGTTGCTTGTCCATTTATTATGAACAACTTTCATACGGGTCCATTTGCTGTAAAACAAACTTTTTGAAAACCACCCCAGAGAGCTCATGAAACGGCCGCTAAATCCGGAAATATTAAACTTATAAAAAAAATTCATTAGGCGAACTTATAGAGAATGTTCTTATGTACAATTTGCGTCTAATTATTTTGTTGTAGTGCAGTTTTAAAAAAAACTACCCCTGTTGCTCAAAAACCACAAGGGGAAATTTTTTTTTCGATTTTGTTTATTTTACACTCAGAAGACAGTCGCTGACAAACTCTGAAAAAATCAGCTTGCCCGTACTTTTTTTTTAAATGACAATTTTATTGGATTAAATGTCTGGTACTTCGAACTTCAGATATACCCTGTATAGAGTTTGGTAAAGTTTTGTGTCAAAACCTATAGGCATTCTCGGACGAGACTAATATATAGTTGTGGAATGTTTTCCTTTGGAATTTACTCCTTGAAGGAACTAACTGTCCCAGATGATCGCACAGAACCGCAAAATGTTATAAAGGCTGAAATAATAAGTTAACTTTAGATTTTTTGATGTATATTCGATTGAAATAGTTTTAAAAATATAATTTTCAATATCACAATATATTTTTTGGCAATTCTTGAAGTTTTTAACTAAAAATAACACTTTTTGTTTTAATTTTTAGGGCCAACTGGGTCATGGTGCTAGTTTCCCCTACAGCGCCCCTGGTGGAGGCAGGCCAGACTACTCTGGGGTTCCTCAAAGGCATGATGACCCTTTATCCCTTCACCAAGCCCTTGGACAGGCTGTAGAAGATGCTCAAGCCGGAATAGATGATAATACGGGTTTTATCACAGATCTTCCATTGCTCAAAGGTAAATATAATTAAAATTTAAACATACAGGGTCCGGCAATAGTGCGTCGGGCATCTGTAGATTCTAGAATAATTTTTTTTTTATTTATCGCAAATTTTGTTTCAGTACAAACCTAAAGTAAGTATGTATTTCAGGAAAATAGTTTAACTTCTATAGGGTGGCTCAAAAAAGTGTGAGTGGATAGGGATATTTTTGTAAATGGTACACCCTGTATATTATTGCATTTTTGGATTCCTTTCAGATTATTTTACATAATCCTAAGATATGAATAGTTTCATAGATATTAATAAATTTAATAAATAAAAAATATATATTTTTCAGCCTTTCTTAAAAATATATTAAAAATACAACTGTCCTGAAATCAAAACTATATTAGGTATTTACTTTAGATAGTCTGTACTTAACTTTGCTATAAATATGGTAATCGTAAATCATAACAGTATGTTTAAATTCTACGCCTAAGTTCTAAAATATAAAATAAATTTTCTTCGTTTTTTTTTTAAATGGAACACCCTGTATATTATTTTTACAATATAAGGAGAAATAAAAAATGAAAATTTTTTGTATTTAGAGTATTTCAAAATTTTTAAAGGTTTCGCAGATATTCGCTGTCTTATATTTCGTATGGCATTTTCCACAGTAAATTTTTATCAATGCCACCCCCAATGATTTTTCTCTCATATTTTACAATTGAAAGAATCATATGCCATTTTACCGTTGAAAGAGCCATTAAAAATTTTAAATTATTTTAAATGCAAAAAATGTTTATTTTTCTATTCTCCAACTACCTAATGAAAAAATAATATACAGGGTGTTCCATTAAAAAAAACAAAGAAAAATTATTTTATATTTTAGAAACTTTGGCGTACAATTTTGAGCACCCTGTATGATTTAAGATTACGATATTTATAGCAAAGTTAACTATAGACCATCTAAAGTAAATATACCTAATATAGTTTTGATTTGCAGTTCTTGCATTTGTAATAATTTTTTAAAAGAAGGTTGAAAATAAATATATTTTCCATTCATTAATAATTAATTTTAAAGAAACCATGTATGAAAAAAAAATTCTCACAATCGGTAATAAAAAATCACCCTACTTAGAACTGCCGTTAAATAAAAGTGTAACACTGTTAGACACACCACGGGGTCGCTCCAGAATAAGCCATATGGGGCTCCGCCTATAAACAAAGTATTACAAGTTGGAACCGCCCTTTACACGGCCACCCGGTGTTACCCTAACTAATTAACCATATATTCAGGGGGGTTCAATAAATTAGACTTATACACCGCGCTCACTGTTGGTAATACTGTGAGTTTGATGGTAAAAAGGCTTTCTTTTTTATTTGCAGGTATGAAAGGGGCCAAAGACCACTCGGGGAGCGGGGCTATGGTGTCCCCTAGTGACGTATTTTGTTCAGTACCTGGTCGGTTGTCGTTACTCTCTTCAACGTCAAAATACAAGGTAAGAATTAATATAAATTTATTAAAATCATTAAAAAAAATAAGTAATTACACTCAGATGCAAAGAAAAACGCAACGGAGAATTTTTCGTCAAGTTTAAAGTGTTATATTTTTTTTACCTTTAGTCATTTTCATGATTTTTTTAGCAAACTGTATATATATCTATCAGCTTTAATTCATAAACTCAGTTTTTTATAAACTTTAGTATTTGGGTTATTATACACAGGGTTAATTGAAGGGTTGTTTTTTTACCCTAACTTTAAAACATCCTGTGCAATAATTTCGTGAGTAACTTTCTCTAAAACATTATTTTTCGATCAGAACTATGTCTCCTGAGCATTTTCTTTTTTGATACATGTCAACACATGCCTTAGTTAATTTTTAAGAGCGAAATGAACTTGCCACCAACAATTTGCATTTTTTTCAACTATCATTACTTTATGATGTTATTTTTTAATATCACGAGGTGGCTTTGGTGACTATTATCGTAATATCATAACGACACTGATTAGAACTCTATATTAAATTTTAAAAAACGTTAAAAATAACGATAGGGGCTTGGTTTTAATAAATATTAGTAACACTAACAGAACTAAGGATATTAAAGAATAATAACTGTAATAACTAAATGTACAAACAAACAAAAAAATTGTAAAAAATAATCTCTAATAACTCTAATACTTTGTATTGACTCTCCCGACTGCAACCTAAGGCTATAACTATCTGTAGACACCGATCGGTTCATACTGTTATGAGGCTGCAAATATATTGTAGACGGATTGTATTATTATAGCTGGCTACATAAAAAACCTTATCATCGGCTAATTTTTTTTGTGAAGTATCCTTTTGTGTAGCCATTATGAAATAATCATGTCTGCCAACGCGATCCCGGGGCTTAAGACGGGGAAGGCCCATCGAAGGGGTGAAATTTTGACACTAAAAGAAACTGTGCTAAAAGTATTATAAACTACACGAGTTATAATTGCCAAATAGTTTTATTTATTATTAAGAAACGTGGAAAATTGTTGGCAGACATTCAAAACACACTTTCTGGTAATTTTTTCACTTTTTTAAAATGAGTGGAAGGGGTTGAAATAAACTACCCCTATCATTCTTGTTAACGAAATTTAAAGAAAAATCTTATCAAACACATGCAAAAAAATTAATTTGGATAGTTTAGTTTGTTTAGAAACTTTTTTATCTCTTGTATTTTTTTGATAAAACTCACCGATTTGAAATTAAAAAATAAAATATAAAGCATTACATGCCAGGACAAAAAACATTTTCTAATAAAGAATCTAGTGGGCTGCTGTAATTTTTTTAGGAAAAAATCTAGTCGGCCGCTGTTACTTTTTAGGATGTTCCTAATATTATTTTATTTGACATTACTCTACTGCAATACGTTATTATCTAGATGTTTATTATTATCGTTATTATCACTAGATTCTTAATCTAAAAATGTTTTTTGTCCTGACATGTAATGCTTTACATTTTATTTTTTTAATTTCCAATCGGTGAGTTTTATCAAAAAAATACAAGAGGTAAAAAAGTTTCTAAACAAACCAAACTATCCAAATTAATTTTTTTTGCATGTGTTTGATAAGATTTTTCTTTAAATTTCGTTAACAAGAATGAGAGGGGTAGTTTATTTCAACCCTTTCACTCATTTTAAAAAAGTGAAAAATTACCAGAAAGTGTGTTTTCATAACAGTAATGCTTCCATAAAATTTCATTAGTCTATCTCTTTTTGTTTTCAAGATAAAAAATAAAAACATTATTTTTCCGCCATCTTTGTACCGCGATATCTCCCTAATGGTTGACTTTTGACCCAACGTTTATAAAGCAAACTACCCTTTATTTTGAACAAGGAATCACCCCCTAAAGTTTTTCACATTTGTTTTGAAACACCCTGTATAATATCGCACTTTTGATAACTGTCTGCCGCTGATTTAGCCACGATCTTTTTGTCTTTTGCATACAGCTTTTAAAATGAATAAATATGACATTCCACAAATCGGCATGCCAGACCGAACCAAACCAAACCATATTTTTTTTCAAAATTTCATGCTTCTTTCGCGTTGTCTGCCAGCATTTTAGCGACAAGAAAAATGTCTGCCAACAAATTTTCATGTTCTTTAATAATAAATAAAAGCTATTTTCGCAAATATAACTCGTGCACCTTATAATATTTTTAGTGTCAAAATTTCACCCTTTCGATTGGCCGCCCCCCTTTAAGCGCTGGCAGACATGACTATTTCGTAATGGCTACACATAAGGATACTTCACAAGAAAAATTAGCCATGTAACCAAGCGAATATTCATAATGTCGGCCATCTTTAACAACATCAATGACTTTTGCACAATCTTCGACACTAAGAACCATATTCAATCGCACACAACAATAATCACCCAAGCCACCTCGTCATTATCAAAAATAACATCAAAAAGTAAAGAAAATTGAGAAAATTGCAAAATGTTTGTGGCAAGTTCATTTTGCTCTTAAAAATTATTAACCAAGGCATGTGTTGACATGAGTCAAAAAACAAAATATTCAGGAGACATGGTTCTGACCGAAAAATCATGTTTTAGGAAAATTTGCTCATGAAATTATTGCACAGGGTGTTTTAAAGATAGGGTAAAAAACAACTCTTCGATTAACCCTGTATACTAAAGTTTATAATAAACTGAGTTTACGAATTAAAGTTGACATATTTTTATACAGTTTGCTAAAAAATCAAGGAAATAGGCCTAGAAATAAAAAAATATATAACATTTTAAACTAGTTGCGTATTTGTTGCATCTGAGTGTATTAATAGCGCCTCTATATTTTTTTCTATTATATTCTTCTTTTTCCCAATAATAGGTGACTGTGGGTGAAGTACAAAGGCGACTTTCACCACCAGAGTGCCTCAACGCTTCGCTCCTAGGTGGCGTGCTAAGGCGAGCAAAAAGTAAAAACGGTGGTAGGATCCTGAGGGAGAAACTAGAAAAAATCGGTTTAAATCTACCCGCAGGACGTCGAAAAGCGGCTAACGTCACTTTACTCACCTCCTTGGTCGAAGGTATGTAAATCTTTAAAATAATATTGCTGTATTGCTCCCCATAATAAATTATATTATGAGGATTGATAATTAAAATAATAATTATCAATCCGTTATATACGTTAAATCACGAATATTCGTTACTCACCACATACGACACGGAGTATTGTAGCTAAACGATTAAATTTTTACAAATTGTAAGTTTTGGGTTCGTTGAAGGACTATTACAGCTAAAATTTAAAAATATTTTCACGAGATACAGGGTGTCGCAATAAATAAATAAAAAAAATATAGTTGTATTTTTTTAAGCGGAACGCCCTGTATATTATTTTATTTTTAGATTCTACGATTGAAATAAAGGTAAATTTGATTAAGTTTTATCACACTTAAATCTTACCGTTTTTGAAATATATTTAATTTAGTGAAATTGTAATTATACCTACATATATCTTCAAGTTTTCGTAGAAAATGCATTTTCTTATAATTTAGACCTTATTTATCCTATACCCATGAAATATTGACATTTTAGAAAATGTACAGGTGCTAAAAACGATAATATTACAAGCCCATTTGTTTACAAAAAGAAAACTTTTTAAATCTTTGTAAAAGAGTATACGAATTAAATATACCATATACCACCATTATTTCCGCCCAAAAATTAGTTAGTTACATACTTAATTGTTTTAGTTAATAAATTAATTTTAATAAATGTGGATTGATCAGAAATCAATATAATAATAAGTTAAACTAATAAAAATGAATGTCTCTGTTATAAGCATTCGTTAAACAATGAAATAAAATTTATAAGATGCTACTTTTTACCACACTATCTAATACACATACAAAATTCAGTTTTTTAGTATTTAGAACAATTATTATTAATCAACGTAAATAGTCAATTAATGTAGTTGTGGATTTACTGGGATCAGTAAATCCTCTTTAACAAATATTTAAACATTTTTTTTAATGAAAGAAGCGAATTATATCGACAATAATAGTAGTATCTGTATTCTATGGAAATTTGCTATATCTTTTAAAATAATCCTAAATGTCAATATTCCATAGGTATATCGATATTATAATTTTGTTATTTCATATTTATGTTTTATTATTGCAGCACAAAATTTAGTAAATAGAAAAACAGTATATAGCTACAATATTTGATTTTAAAAACTTAAATACGCCTAGTAGTTCAGTCATTAGGGATCAAAAAAGGGGCCTGTTTGGAAAAAAGTCCGGAAGTTTTGAAACTTTGCAGGTTTATAGGTTTCGGAGCCCCTAACTTAAAATCCATAAAATGCACATTTCCAGACTTGCCGCCGGCGCCGCCATCTTGCCAAGATGGCGCCCAAAATCGGTATTTTGTGAATATCTCGAAAACTATGCGTTTTTCGTGAAAATTTGAGTTGAGACGAAATTAAAGAGAATAAAATTTACTATAAAAAAGGTTTTATGAAAATTTTCGCTAAAGTCAACCGTTTAGGCACAAAATCCCTGGAAATTTTAGAATTTTGCGTAAAATATGATATATTATGTATAGCCGATTTTCCGAAATCAAATGTCGATTAGGGTTCACTAAAACTAGTTTTAGTTTAGTTTCTTCATTTTTGTCATGAAACAGTGGCGAATCATTAATTCGTTCATTAATTTATGAATAATTAATTATCGTGCTGGACAGCATTCATTGCGAACTTACAACCAGGTTCAGCATTGGTCTGGTTGTACCAAAGATGCCGAAGAATAGGGTTGGAAGAAAACAAAAACAGGCATTACTCCAGTCATAACGTTGAAAGATCCAGCTCCAAAATGCCTGTTGGCATTTTTATCCTGCAAATGCAAAACCAACATTTACGGTAAAGCCTGCGGATGCAATGGAAAATCCTGTGACAACGTCACTGAAGTGTCACTCGACGAATCCGATGAAGAGGAGTTGGACTTGCCTGTAGATATCCCTCTGGCGGCTGAAGATGAAGAGTTGGACGTATTGAGAGACCACCCTGATGAGCCCAGCATAGCAGACACGATCGACTTTGACATCAATGAGCCAGATCCGTCGGGCTTGGGCAGATAAGTTAAAGTTTTTAATTTATCTAGTGGAGTGGGCCTCCGGGAAGACCACGTTAAAATAAACGCACCATATACTTTACCTCTTGGGTGGTGTGGAAACAAGTACACGCATTTTCAATAATTAAAATTAATTATTCATAAATTAATGAGCGAATTATTGATACGCCACTGTTTTATGACAAAATTGAAGAAACTAAACTAAAACTAGTTTTGTTCCCTTTGTTCCCTTTCCTTTTCATGAACCCTAATTGACATTTGATTTCGGAAAATCGACTATACATAATAATAATATATCATATTTTACGCAAAATTGTAAAATTTCCAGGGATTTTGTGCCTAAACGGTCGACTTTAGCGAAAATTTTTATAGAACCTTTTTTATAGGAAATTTTATTCTCTTTAATATTGCTCTCCTTAAATTTTCGCGAAAAATGCATAGTTTTCGAGATATTCACAAAATACCGATTTTGGGCGCCATCTTGGCAAGATGGCGGCGCCGGCGGCAAGTCTGAATATGTGCATTTTATGAATTTTAGTTAGGGACCCCAAAACCTATAAACCTGCAAATAAGTTTCAAAACTTACGGACTTTTTTCCAAGCAAAAATCCCCAATGACTGAACTATAGAGAAATGAAGCATTAAAGCTGTTACCACAGCTGTTACTGTATTTTGACAAAAACGTAAATATTTTAAAAAGGGTAAGATGCAGTAAACTTTAGAAATGCGGTAAACCTTAATAAAACTTACCTGTATTTTAATCGTAGAAACTATAAATCTTTGAATAAGCTATAAATGTAATAATATACAGGGTGTTCCATTTAAAAAATACAACTTTGATATATTTGGGATACTCTGTTTTTTTATAAATATTTTTAAATTGTAGCTCTAATAGACCTTCAATGAACCCAAAACTTACAATTTGTTAAGATCTAATCGTTAAGGTACAATACTCCGTATTGTTTGTGGTGAATAACCCGGTATAATAATAAATATAAATAATATATTATTCAAGCAACAAATTAAAAATTCTAAATCTAAATTTTATAAATATTCGTCTGGTTAATTCTAATCATTATTTTTTAAAGTACAAGCTCTTACCAAATTACTGAAAGATTCTATTTCTTTTCAGGTGAAGCCATCCATTTAGCTAGAGATTTTGGTTACGTGTGTGAAACTGAATTCCCAGCAAGACAAGTAGCCGAATACCTTCTGAGGCAGCATGGGGAAACACCCAGACGAAAAGAACTCCTACAAGCCACGAAACAGATCACGAAAGAGTTAATGGATCTGCTCAATCAAGATAGATCACCCCTATGCAATACTAGGCCCCAAATTTTATTGGATCCCTCAATACAAAGACACCTAACGCATTTTTCTCTCATAAGTCATGGATTTGGGAGTCCCGCGATCGTTGCGGCACTCACAGCTATCCAGAATTTCCTCAGCGAAAGCCTGAAGCATCTGGACAAGGTTTTTCCAAACCAAAACGCGGGACAAGGTCAAGGTATGCTGGTAACTTCGTCTCTGGACAAAGCCAAACTGGACGACAAGAATAAATGACGTTGCTCGATGATGTGTTGTGATCTGAGGAGGTTAATGTTCGAAACGTAGTTGCCGTGTGAGCGTCTTCGATGGTAAACTACCTCTTTTTGCGATTAAAAATCACAGAAAAGCGAACTGTGTGAGGGAAAAACAGAATTGGATGATTGTTGAAAATGTTTTTTCGTCTGTTTTTCTTTTTTTTGTATAATGTACATTGCCGATCATCGGATATATTTTTTTCTAAACAGTGCCAATGCCGATAATGTATTATAAGAATATTATTTACGTGAAACTTGGGTAAAAAAGAAATAAATTATTATGACACAACAAAACAGTATTTTAACTTTCCTAAGATAACTCCTGTTTGATTAATTTATTTTTTAATTTTAGTTATTTAATGATTAATTATAATAAGAACATTTTACCTTAAAATCAATTATACATGGACTTGTCCTGCGGCAGGCTTGGTCTGCCGCAAGTTTGGTTTCATCCGCAGGCCAAGTCCGCAGTCAAAATCCGCAGGCCAAATCTTCGGATTCTGATATTTGGGGGGCTAATAACTAAAGAATACAAGGACCTATACTCACTTGTTCGTCGAGCTGCTTGAATCTTGAATTTATTTTTGCTTTTGATCAATCGGCATGAGAAACTATAAACCTATAAAATGTTGTTTCGGAAGAGTTGAATATCCGGGAAAGTTCAGTTATTGAATGTTATTGCACCAAACAACGCCCTAATTACGCTCTATTGAAATTGTAATTGAACTCATTTCAAATTGTCACAACACAACAAGACGCCTAGTTCGAATTATTTTTCACTTATTTTTTACTACCCGAAACAGCGTTACATCACACAAACCTTCGTACCTGAGTGTTTTATAGTCTCAATAACTACACTAGCAAAAAACTAAAATATTTAAATATTATGACAAAACCCCGATTTCAATATTATTTTAATGCGATCGACATGACGGCGCCGGCGGCGGCGTGAACTATATATTGATAATTTCTGATTTCTGCCGTAGAGTGCGCTGCGGTCGGAATTTATTGAAATCAACTGAAATGCACCAAGCCTAGCTATAATATCAGAAAAATAACTATAAAATTCAATAAAAGAACACTAAGAAGGTGGAATGGACGGATTATTTATCTATGAAACGTAACGCCTGGTTTTTTCTTGTCGTTACGGCTTTTACACTTGAAAGATGAACAATTCACCACAAAGTACACTACAAACAACAAACTATTAATAGCTGCCCATACACGGAAAGGCCCGGCCTTCGGACTCGGCCTTGAGGCCGGGCTTTTCACCCAAATTACCATAGCGGAAATATATCCGCGGACTTTGTCTTTCGCGCAAAACTATGCTATTTTGGGTGAAAGACCCGGCCTCAAGGCAAAGTCCGAAGACCGGGCCTTTCCGTGTATGGGCAGCTAATAATCGCTAAAATTGTCGCATGTGACACATCCGTTGTCTCTAAAAAAAAATGGCGTCTAACATCACAAATTTTGCTCCAGCCCGTAAATAAGCGTAGGCGTCCTTGTGTTCTTTAGTCATTAATCGAACCAGTCTCACGTTGGTGTCGGGTTCATCACTCTCTCGTCAAAGGCTCGTCTCGCGCTCGTCTTAAGGTGCGTACAGACCTGACGAAACGAGTGCGAGACGCGAGCTTCTGACGATAATCCATTTTTTGAGAGACGCCCTGCGCCTGCCACGAGCCCAGCAAGCTTATGTATAGCATGCACTGGCGGTCGAAAATCCGACACAAAGAGGGATAGCAACGAGCATTGGTAACGAGACCGCGTAGGTTGGCTCGCAAGACCTGTCCACACCAGTCCACACTTAGACAACTTGAAATATCTCGCTCTCGTCTCGCGCGCGTCTCGTCAGATCTGTACAAAAATGCAAAAGAGCCAGAGACAGAGCTTAGCATATGCTGGCATGTAGTATACGAACATGATGAATCTTAATTACAAGAATAGCACAAAATATGTCGATGAGATAAAGGTAACATCGGGATAACATTTTACCGGGGTAATGTATGTATCACAATGTCTAAAAATATTCTGAAAATATTAAGTTACTAGATTAACAGCAATAATTGCTGTTAATCAAGGCATATATTTTATAGAAGTATGGTGATAGGATATTTTAATAAGCTTTATTTTACTCTTTAGGAGATAGATGGTTTTATGTCGTAGAATACATTACATTATTTAATAGCCTGTGCCCATCACCTCTACTTTGATATTGTTTGTCCTCATTTTATTATAATATTCTTGTTTGTAAGCAGGAGCGCATACAGGAATTTATTTTAGGGGGTACAAATAAAAAGTAAAGTAGAATACGCTTTATAGGGCGCCATTTTTAACCCCAAAAGCATACAATTTAACACAATTTATAGTTTTTAAGGGGCCTGGGCCTCATGGGCCCTCCTCTATATCCGCACCTGTTTGTAAGTTAATGTGAAAATAATTGTCAAAATAATTCTTGACAATACTTGCGACAATATGGCGAAGGATGATTTTCAATCTGTTGTCGTCAAGATGTCAAGATAAATCTGAAAATAGGTCTACAATATGTATTTTCAGGGAAGGTAGTTCTCGCCGATAAAAGAAATATATTTTCTCTTTACCGTTTTTCATATAAGTCCAAAAGAGCCATGTTACTTTATTTTGAAAATGCAGAAAAAATATATTTCTTCCTTAATTTTTCAAAACCATTGACTTTTTGCTGTTTTATCCTTAATTCTATATGTACAGGTTTCTATATGGGACTGTATGATGAGTTATGATTCAAGAAAGGGGGACACAATGGATCTGTAAGGTCGAAGTGATTAACCCCCCTCCCACTCATTCTAAATTCTAAAAAAAAAAAAAATTCTAATGTACAGGTTTCTATATATCATGGGTTTCTATATTCTATACTTTGAATTCTATATATATATATAGTTTATTATTTTATTTGAATATGCTACAGTTACTACATTTATCTGTAATAGAAGAAATTTGAGTTGAATCAACCGATTTCGTAACCTCATGTTGTTCTTCAAGAAGTATTAAATATTAAAATAATAATAGAAATTTAAATATTATCAGATAATACATATTTAATTATTTTTAAAACAAAAAAATACTTATTTCTACTGACTTTCTACTTTCTACTACTTTATTATGCTATATACATTGATGCTATTGGGAATTCAAGAGAAGCGATACGCCCTCTGGTGGCTCTAAAATCAACTGGTTTCTGCCACATTATTTCCTAACCTTACTTTTATATCGATTGTTTATCTAAAGTTTACACTCATTTTGTGTCTTTTTCAAAATTATATTTGTTTTTCTGTTATCGCGTGTTGTGTTAGGATTAGAAATAAAAAAAATACGCGTCGAACGTATAACCTCCTCTTTTTTTGAAGTCGGTTAAAAAAGGAGAAACGACCAGTGAACCAGTGTACCAAAGCATGGCGTTCAATAACAATTTTTGTTGTGTGCCATAGTGCAAATCCTGGGCCAAAATGACCCTGAAGGAGAATTAAGCTTTCACAGATTTCCCAAAAAGGATGCTAGGAAAGTTTATGTCGAAAATAAGATGGGAAAGTGTTTAATGGATCAAAGAAAAGCTTGGATATTGAAACTTAAAATTGGCAAGCAAGTTTCCGAAACTATGAAAGTGTGCTCTCTTCATTTTGTCAAGGATGATTATTTTAACAAAGGTAAATACTAAGTATAATAATGAGTGATTTCATTTAAATTTTAATTTTAAAAATATTCTTTATTGAAGTGACAAAATTTAAATGTTAATTTAGTTTGTTTCTTTTCTATTGCAGGGTTAACCACACAAAGGGGTAGAGTTCTCAAAAAGACTGCAGTACCTTCTCAAAATCTTCCCATTTCTACAGTTAGTTCAGCAAAATCTGCAACTGCAACATCATCATCTGATCGTGCTTCTAGATACAAAAAGAGAAAATTGTCCAATCAAAACGAAACTGATTTATGTACGAGCACAAATGAGGACTCCAATGAAGATGACCAAGATGATGAAGCAGGTAGCTTAATAGATTTGCTGAAATCTACACCAGATGTTAGTGATAAGGAAGTAGATAGTGTGCTTTTACAAAACAGGAAAGTGACTGTGCGAGATTCAGAAGTGCAAGTGGACACACCTAAAATCAACACACTGAGTGATTTACTAAAAACCGATTCTGCATTAAGAAGTTTTACAGGCATTAATAATTTTCAAATTCTAGAATGTATTGTGGAAATAGTAAAAAAAAAATTTACAATTGATACAAGATCACATCGTCTAGATGTGCGAGAGAGAGTTCTTTTAACAATGGCAAAATTAAAATTGGACTTAAGTTATATTACTTTGGGTGCACTATTTAATATATCTGGTCAGCTGTGCAAAACATATTTTTTTGATTTTTTAACAATTCTAAGTCAAGTGTTTAAATCATGTATTTATTTTCCTTCTGAAGAAGAAATCTCAAAAAATTTGCCAAAATGTTTTGAATCTTTTAAGAATTGTCGAGTTGTTTTAGATTGTACAGAAATCTTTATTCAAAAACCAAGCTGCTTGTGTTGTAGAATTAAGTTTTATTCCCAATATAAAAAATCTACAACTGTCAAGTTTATGACTGGGGTGTCTCCTGGGGGGATAATAACTTTCATCAGTAAATCTTATGGTGGAAGAGCATCCGATAAATTAATTTTTGAGGAAAGTGACCTAATTAAATTGTTAACACCTAATAGAGATTCAATCATGGTTGACAAAGGTTTTCTGATTGACAATTTATGTGCTATGTATAAAATTAACTTAATAAGACCACCATTTTTACGAAACAAAAAGCAACTTACAGTTGAAGAAGCTATTTGTAATAAAGAAATTGCTGCAGCACGAGTGCATATTGAAAGGTCTAATCAGAGGTTAAAAATCTTTAACATTATTAGTGGAAAGTTGCAGTGGTCATTAGTTTCAAAAATTGATGAAATATTTACAATTATTTGTGGAATAACTAATCTGTCAGCTCCTATACTATCTGATGAAAGATTTTTATAAGGATTGGTTATGCTTCAATATGTAGTTAATTTTTTTTAGGACTAGGTTGTGGTTGTAGGTACATATTTTTTTATATTTTTATAGTTTTTTTTTCACGAAAGTACATGTATTTTTGTATTATTTTTTGCATTGTTTACGACATGGTTTGATTTAATTTGATCATTATTATGACTTCACGGGATGGGTTACACAAGGGGTTCATTGGTTTTAAAAATTAAACAAAATTACTCCATTAAAGACTGAGACATTGGCCATTTATTTCATCTCACATATTGAATGTATCATTTTATTAAAATAATTGTTTTTAATTTTCTCCAACATTGTTTTGGAAAATTTATAATCATTTTCCACCTCTAATATTACACAACTGTCATCATAAGATGCATATAAACATAAAAAACATTTTTCTAAGTTCAATATGCTCATTCCTAATTGAATTTGACCATAATATTGGTGTTTTTTCTTAAGTGTATATTTCCCATTTGAATTTATGATGAAGGTGCTTGATCCTAGACACTCTTCAATAGACATTGTTGCACCTGAAATATTTTGCATTTTTTGTTATTTGTTTAAAAAAGGTATTTGAGGACTTACCTAAGAATAAACATTTAATTTCCAATAATGCAACTGGCTTTCCCTCAGAATTCACTACCATACCATCTGGAGAAAAGCCCAACCATTTGTTTTCTGGTGATGTTATCATTCCACATTCAATTACGTCATATCCTGTTTTTGACATAAAACACTCTCTCGCAAGTTTTTCGTATTTTTGGCCATGTTTTACATATTTGTTTGTAAAAGATTTCGGGCAAAAGTACTTTTTACTCTTCATTTCCCAGTCCATTCCTCCATAGGTGTAGATCTCATAACACCTAGAGCCAGTAATTCGATATTTTCTGGCTTCATGCCACTCATGGGAATTTTGCTTAAGGGTGAATAGTTCATCTTGATCTTCATTCAAGATACTACGGTATAGTGTTGCACAGCAATTTGATATAAAATTAGCTTCCACGCTAGCAATTTCCATTAATATGATGGACTGTGCAGCATTATTTAAAATTTTGCAGCCTACTGCATCCAAATCGATTGATTTGGTACTGCTTACAGTACTGTCCAAATTCTTGACACGTCCTTTTCTAAAACATGTATGATCATAGTTATATAAAAAATTTTAATTACTGCATATACTTACGAATGTTTTGCAATAGCACAGTTTGGTAAATTCTTGATAAAAAATTCAAATATACATTTTTGTTTTTGAAGATCTGAACTTACATCCAGACCAACTTTAGATCTGATGCAAGGCATTTCAAGTACAGGAATAGCCTTATATTTATTATGTACAAATCCTTTTCTGCCAGACCAAGCACATGCAAGTTGAGTTTGAGAAATATCCTCTAACTCAAACAGATTTTGCCTTGAAATATAAACAACAGTAAATAAGTATTCTAACATAATTTACATAAAATTTATAACTAAACTGGACAATAATAACAAAAAAAACCTACCTTGTTAACAGTATTAGGAAAGCTGAAATATGTTTGCATTGTCCACCAGCCCCGGCTTTACAAGTGCAGTACATTTGCTTAATTGAAGCAGACCTATTGGAAATTGTTAATTCCCCATTTAATTCATGTGGATCTGACTGTAAGGCACTAGTTTGCAGGCAAAGAGCACACACTTTCAGGAAAGTCTTGGTTAATGCAGTTTTTCCAAACAAGATTATATGGCCTGCATTAACCACCTCTTCTCCTTCAACCACTGCCCTTGAATTCGCATTACAACCAATGTAACTGAGATATTCAGTAAGGCTAAGGGTTATTTGAGCCATATTTACTCTACAAACAACAGAAATAAAAAGAAAATTATAGAAATCAATCATTTTATATCATACTCACCCAACAATGTGGTTTTGAGCCACTCCAAAAAATACAATTTAAAAGTCTTTACACGAATCACAGCAAAATCACAATAAAATATAACAGTAAAATAACAATAAATGAAAGCAAAAATAATGAAAAATCGTAATAAAAACGCAAAAAAACACCAAAATTCACAGACGTAATAACAAACGAAAGTGAGGTTAGAAAATAATGTGGCAGAAACTAGTTCTGTCAATAACCGCCGTGGCGCTGCGATCTTAATTTGAATTCCCAATACATAATTCGAAAATTGCTTGCAATCTGGCAACATCAATGATTTGCGCATGAGTAGTATCTGTGAGCAAACGCAGCAAATAGATATATCAACAGCGTGTCAACACTGTCAACCTGTCAACAGTCTATGCCAGATGCCAGTCTTGAGCACAAGTCTTGAGCCAGGTGGATGACACTTCTTATGGGAGAACTGGCAATGGTTGAAAACTTGACTACAAGCGATTTTCTAGGAATCTTCCTTACCGATAAATTATTGACAAGAGTGACAGATAAAACCTTGACGTTCTTTCAGTATTCCAGTTCACCTCTTTTTCTTTCTACAGTGTGCGTTGAAAGGAGACAAAATTAATTTTTGGTGACCCATAATTTGTTATTCGAACACCACTTTTCTCCTTGTCGGGTCGTTGACGTTGACTTGTCGCCATTTTATTTCTTTTGTTTACACGCTGCATTTTGCTTTGCAAATTTAATACATAAATTATTTAGGCAAATATAGGTTTTTAATAAAACTCCTCGGACTAACGTGTAGGTAAGTGTTGATAATTTTTTTTCATCTTAACATGCTCATTGTCGTTCTCCTGATTTTAGGTGACAGAAAAGGATCATCAAATCAAATTGAATTTTATATTTTCCTTCCTATTTATCCTTCCTAAATATCAACGAGATGAGCCATCGGAAGAAAGGGACCATAGTACAAAAACAGAAAGGTGATCTTTTTCTTTCCACTTCGGATATTGAAATTATTATATACTGTAGTCGTGTTCGGCATTATGCTCTGAGAAATATAGATAAACAAAGAACAACAGATATAAAGCATCCCAGAGGAAAAGAGTGGCAATACCTGTATGTACTCTCTCTGATATTTGTGAAAGTTACAGCAAAGTATTGTTGTAAATGTCATCTTTTTGATCGACCTGAAAACTTTGAGCAAAAAGATGACACTTTCAACAATACCCTGACAGATATCAGAGACGATACAGGTTTTTCCTCTCTTTTCCCCTGGAATACTTTTAATTTATTATTCTTTGCTTATCTAGATTTCTCAGAGCACTATGAACGAACTCAGCTTGTATGTTTTTGATGATGACATTTCCCATATAATTTTACTTTCAAAATTATGATATATCTTTTATTTCTAAGCCATCTATGACGCCATTTTTTTCAGTTTTGTTATAATTAATTTTGTCTCTTGATCTACTTGTAACATTATTATTTTAATTTTATTAATTTATTGTGGTGAAATTAATTTCTGTTGTATATTTGATATTGATATTAAACATATTTTTAAAAAATGGTGTATTTATTGTGGTTTTGTGTATGTCATAATTAAAAATAAATGAAAAAATAAAAAAAAATATTTTTTTAAACTTCCCGCCATGCGTGACAATTTAGTCCGTAGTTCCTACAAGCGAAATTAGGGGCGCTAGTAGCAGTAGACTTGTCAACAGTGTCAAATTTAAACGTCAATTTCACTTTCCAATATTTAGCAAGGCGCTCGCACTTCTTCTTGTGTATGTGTTTTGTGTCTTGAGCTTTCTCCCATCTATGGATGGTTGATGTTGATGCAATGCAAAGAATAAAGACAAAATTGTGACAAAATTGATGAGTTTGAATCGGGTTAGAATGCGGTCTTAAAATTAAAATATCAATCTTGTCTCGATAAAAGTGATATTACATTTGCAGTTTAAAAAAATCGATTCTGAATAAAATGAGTAAAAATTAGCCTCGTCCGTATAGTCTTCTTAATAACATTTATAGACTTCTTGAAATTCAGAAAAGGAGAAAGCACCATGATTTTCGAGAAAGAATACCTGAAAAAGGACCATTTAGATGGATTTGATCACTATAAGGTAATTTTCTGCAGCACGTTTTACAATTTTCAAGTGCTTTTTACGTAATCTGCATCGTGCAGTATAAGGTTATAATTAATTTTAAAAAAAATCATTAAAATTCTGAAAAATAAACAATAATATAGGTAAACATTTGATTTGTTTTATTTTTTTAGTATAACAGTAAGGATACGGGTTTGCTTAGCATATATGTTATGCACCCATTCTGGAATTGGGTAGTACAGGTAACAACACTAAGCAAAACATTAAAACTGGAATTCTATTTGCTACATTTTTCAGTACTGTCCAAAAAATATTGCACCAAATTTACTGACGTTTAGTGGATTCTTATGTACTTGCTTCATGTATGTTATGTTTGCTGCAATAGATTATAGTTTTTTGACATCAGATCCTGATGTACCAGAAGTAAATCCTTTGCCAAGATGGACATGGTATTTTGCTGGTATATTATTATTTCTTGCTTATACCTTAGGTAATGTATTTCATATATCCTTATTAGCATATAATTATCATAGGTAATTAAATTGTTGATACTATATATTTGTGTATTGTTGTGTGGTCATAGGTCAGATCCTGAATTAATGATATGCATTGAAATCCTATTACCAATTCCTGTTATATTTAAGTAATACACAGTTTAGTTCAATTCAGTTTTAAAGTTCAAAGTTTATCATGTTTTAAATATGAATTATATTAGCAATATACTATTTATAAAAAACATACAAAAATAGTACAAATTAGCTTTTTGTATATATAGTATGTAGTTTTTACACTGGTATGATATGATCAAAGGTTAAATCTTATCTTTATCAAAATGTCAGTTAAGTCATTGAACTTAAGTAATACAAAGGGAATTTGTTTTTAGATGGAATAGATGGTAAACAAGCGAGAAGGACTGGTACCAGTGGCCCACTGGGTGAGTTGTTCGACCATGGTCTTGATTCCTACACTGCAGGACTCATTCCAGTCGCTATGTACTCAATTTTCAGTAGGAGTGCACGTTACAGCATTCCCCCTTTCAGGATGTTTTTCCTTATGTGGAACATTCTGATTAATTTCTACCTATCACATTTCGAAAAGTACAATACTGGAGTACTATTCTTACCATGGGGGTACGATTTTACCATGTGGGGTACAATTATCACTTTCCTTTTAACAGGGGTAAGTTTAGTTTTTACCTCCGTTTTTCTGTTTCAGAAAAAAAAAGCCAGATATTTCCTTTACAGAAGAATAATGCAAAACCCTGTTTTGTAGATGTAAAATTGTTTATACAGGGTGTTTCAAAATGTGCCATCTCTTGTGGGGAGATTCCTTAAGTAAAAAATAACATTTATTTTTCATATCAACATAGGTCCAATTCTGCTTTGTTTTGTACCTACAGGGGGTTAAACTCTAATTTTTTTTTGATTTACAACTTTCTTCCAAATGCTTTTAGTAATTTCGAATGAAATTTTGAGGATAAAAGTTACTATAAGTGCTGCATTTTTTTTACAGATTCACCAGAGACGTGCATATGCGGTATCACTGGAATAATTTTTTCTAAAAAAAAACGTGCGCCACAGACTTTTTCTCTCTTGTTAGTACAGTTGAGTAGATCGTTTAATGCGAATTAAAACTTGTCTCTTGATATATTGACACAACATATTTCTGAGAACGGGGCTTAATAGCAGCCTTTAAAAATTTTAATGTCATTAACTGACCAACGTGTTCATAATGTACTTATTAATTCCCAATCAAAAAATACGGGTTCAAAAACTCATCAAAAAATATGAAAATATTTCCTATAAACATGGGTGCGGAAATGCATAGTTTTAAAGTTAAAGAATGTTAAAACTTTTAAAAAATAGGTCTTTTGTAATTATCTTAAATACCAATATTCTTTTCTTAAATAATGACGTTACGCTCAACGTTACCTACAGCAAAGGTAGTGTTGAACGTCAGTGTTAGGTTAGGTTTGGTTTGGTTAATCTAAGAGAAATTTCATGAAAAAATGTATTTTATTATAAAATACATTTAGTAAATAATTTATTAATATTATTTTTATTTGAATTTGTTTAATTGTGATCAATAAGATTGCGTTTATCACGTGAAGGAAGTCGAAATCGACAAAATATCAAGATACAAAGGCATTAAACGGCCATGAAACGGCCTAAAGGCGCGTATTCATCTGAGCACAAACGCGAACGAGGCAAGGCGAGGCAGAACGAATGCCTCGTTTGAACTTTGAAAACCGCAAATTGAAATCTGGCGGGATAGCGAACGAGGCACCGATCCACGGCCGTGCGGCGTGCGGCACTGTCGGCAGATAGAGAAACATGGCAGATGATGATTTAAGAGTGGCTAGTGCTGCGTTTATAGTGATTGCAGGTTTATTAAAGAGAAAAAGAAAGAGAAAATGGTGGTAGTCAAAGAATGAATGAAGAATCAACTAAACTTTTTTTCCAAAACATCTACTATTTCGCCCCAGGCATCCTCTTTTTTATAACATTATATTAAAGTGGATGATCTTTTTTTCCATAAAATGGGTCGCTTTTCATATTCTTTAATTAAAATTAACGTTTTTTCATTACCCATTAGTTCATACTGCACGAGTTTATTATGGCAAAAACACACGAACCAAAACAAATTTAACGAATTAAAGATGTAAACGGAGGGGCGAGGCAAAAATACAAAGTCGCCGTTCACATCGAACCGAATGGTACTCAAGTTCCCTTTGATGTACCGACTCGCTACGGATGGCAGCCAAACAGCCTCGGATCTAACCGAGGCAGTTTGCCGCTCCTCGGAGACCCGTCCACATTCGTATGTTCGCCTTGTCTCGTTCGCGTTCGTGCTCAGATGAATACGCGCCTTAAGCAATTTTGATAATAAGAGAAAAAAAATCAGTAGAGCACGTTTATTTTACAAAAATATTCCATATGCGCGTCCCTGGTGAATCTGTCAACAGTTTTTTAGTACTAAAATATGTAACACTTATAGTAACTTTTACCCTTCAAATTTCATCCCAATTGCTAAAAGCACTTGAAAGAAAACTAGAATAAATCGAAAAAAAAATAAGACTTTAACCCCCCGTAGCTATGAAACAAAGCTGAATCGGACCTATGTTGATATAAGAAATAAATCTTATTTTTACGTGAAGAATCTCCACACGAAATATGGCGCATGTTTTTTAGACACCCTGTATGTAACTAAAGTTTTGTTTTAGATTTTTGGACACGAACTGTGGTACTATGTGTTTCCAGGTGGCATAACTAATGGAATCTGTGTAGAACTGATACTATACATTTCAGCCCTAATATCAAATGTACCCATTGTAGCTTACAACATTTACAGATCATATAAAGATAAAACTGGCTATATGAGATCGTTCCCTGAAGCCGTCAGGCCACTAATACCTTTACTTCTGTTCTTTGGCATTACATTTCTATGGATTTTGGAAAGTCCCTCCAATGTGGTTACCAAGGACCCTAGAGCTTTGTTTTTCCTTATGGGAACGATATTTTCAAACATATCGGTTAGAATTCTTTAAATTTAAATTTAACAGTGGATTAAATCAATATATTTTTAGTGCCGTATCATAGTAGCTCAAATGAGCAGTACAAGATGTGATTGGTTTAATTGGATGTTGCTGCCTACCTTACTGGTTGTGTTGATATCGGGGGCTACTCAGTGGGCAGCATTGGAGATGTTCCTTTTGTATGTTCTATGTATTGCTACATCAATTGCCCATATCCATTATGGCACCTGTGTTGTAAGTTAATATTTTTTATAACTTCGTTATATATATTTGATACAATGTTGTTTTTTTAAGGTGAGACAGATGTGTAGGCATTTCAAAATCAACTGTTTTTCGATAAAGAAACCCTCAGATTGACTAGTTGCTGACAGCGCATGATCAGGTTCAAGATCAAGTGTTGTCCCTCGGAAAATCCCATTTTTATGATTCGCTTCAACTTCTTTTGGTCTTATTAATTATGAGAGCAACAGTATGTATATATTTTTTGTACATTTTTTTTTATATAAAGGGTTTTTTCTTAGTAAATTTACTGAGTATCTTACAATATTTTTTTGTAATTTATTCTAAATATTACAAATAGTATTTGTGATAAAAAGAATGTTATTCCAAAGCTACACAAGGCTATCAGTAATATCTTACTAGGAAAAAAGTCAATAATATTTTTAAGTACTAACAATAATTTGCCAGAAATATTACTAACCCTTGTTTTACATTTTTATTTAGCTACTTTTGTATAAATAATCTTGATTGCTGTATTTTCCTCCCTGTTAGTTTCTATATCCAGTCCTTAAAATGGTCATATGTGTAATTACCAAAGATTAGTTTTATTTTAGTGATATTTTTTTGGGGTAGATTTTTGAGGGACTGACTTTATCTAGTACCTTTGAAAATTATATGGAATGAAGTTATATAATAATTTTTACATACTTCTGATTTTTTACTGTGTATCTTTTTGTTTATTCTCTTTTTAAGAAAATATACAAACAGTATTTCATAATGTAAGCAATTTATATACAAAAACGCATTTATATTTTATTGCCTCAATGGCCTAAAATATCAAGAATTAATTCTTTACTTCTTGGTTGCCATAAAACTACAAGTTTCCATAATTGACATTACAAATCACAGTAATGGGCATCCATGTTATTCATTCAGGTTGATTTTTTACTTTATATTATAATATCAGTTATTATGTACTAAGTTATTGTGATACGGAATAAAAACATTGAAAAATTAAATGGGTTTTATTATTTTTAACAAAATAACAATAAGCTGAAATAAAATTTAGTCTCATTTTTAACAACTTTAAGAAAAAATAACTTATTTTTTATTGATTTTTCATATTCTAAAAATAGTTTTTAGGCATCCGTATTTCGTACATTTTAAGGAAATGCACTCACGCGAAGAATTCAGTACGACCATATACAACCCAAACCAAACCATACCAAATATACCATCAAAAAAAAATGGTTATGAAGATCGCTGTCATTTTATATGTAAAATTATATGAGGAATGTCATTTCCAACCCAACTAGAGGACGTTTTTTTGCGCACCGCGGAATATTCAAAACAAATTTTTGTGCCAGTGTGTTGCTCTTTATTGTAGAGATGCAGCAAATAGCGGATTTGCCAAATATATAGCTGAATACCTAATATTTGGTATGGCAGCATTGATCATAAATTAATTTATAATGTTTCCAACATGATGCTTCTAAATTTCAGAAAATTTCGCCATCATACTAAATAAGTTATGAATATATGAAATATATCTAAAAAAATTATTAAAACTAAATCATGAACACGAACACCTAAAAACTAGAGTTTGAACACTGAGAACACTTTTCGGTTGAAGGTCACAATAACATATTCATATTAAAGTTGTAACACTTTTACATTTTTTCTTTTTGCATTCTTTTGAATTTGTCTCCTCTGTGTCAGTTCTATATTTTTGCAATTTTACTGCGTGTAAAGTATTTACTGGACATCTGCATTTGTCACACAACAACTACAAGAAAATAATTTGAACTCTGTAAAATATTATGAAAACATACCAACCAAATTATTAAGGAAACCTGTATGGAGTTCTCTTCTGGTTTTTGCCATAATTTTATGTGGAACTAGATCAATCAAATTGTTACATATTTTCTTCTCCACATACCCCTTATACTTCATTCTCCCAAATAAAACAAGTTTGTTCCACTGAAAAATTAATTTGTTCGCAACAAACTGCTTTCTAGAATAGTAAAAACCCATAATTATTGTTTTCAGAACTGTCGTGTCTTCATATATGTCGTGACTCAAAGTCCTATAAAAATTATAGTAGTTAATGTGCTCTTTTGTAAATAGATTTATTTAAGAAATAATTACAAAGCTAGAAAAAAGTTCTCTGGTGTATAGTCTTCCTCTTTGAAATCTGCTCTCATAAAATACTGGAAAATTATAATCAAGTGAAATTTGTCGCAAAGAGCCCCACAAACATCGCGCTTGTTAAACTCGGTTATGTGATTATTATCTACGAAATAAAACCGAAATAAACTTTGTCACTATAAACTGGATATACATATGGAATATATTCACCCAAAAGTTTAATAAAACACGCCACATGTTGCTGAAAATTCATTTTAATTCTGTTAATCCGAATTTAAACAATACCCACATTTGCAAAGTAAAAACACCGGTTACTTACAAGATGGTTAAAAGCCTTAAAAAGAAACTTCAAAATTCGTGTATTACTGGTTGCCTGAAAATAGGCTATAAATTTAAGTAGTTTTTATCGGTTTTTATTGCGCGCGTTACTAAATTTCCAGAAAAATATGCTTTTATATTTTACCATATATTGTACAAAAAATATCTTATATAAAAAATAATAGAAAAATTCAAAATTAAACAAAAATCATAAAATCGTAAAAAATATGTAGATATATCCTAGCCAACCTAGCCAATAGAAAGAGTCCACGACTCAAACTTCCCAATATCTCCGCCAGGGCAACACTAACAACTTTTTGACGTATATTGTAGTTGTCAAAAATCATCAAATCGACATCATAGCAAAAGATAAACACGTATCTTAATATTATTTAGTTTCTGGAAGAAATACAGAAAGCAGATGTTATAAGAAGTCCAGTAATATTACTGTTATCCAGAAGAATGAGGTTCTTAGGCATATCGTTCGTTAGTTTTCTTTTAACGTCTATAGTCGTAGCAAATGCATATTACCAAAAGAAACAATTCTACCCCTCGGTAGTTTACATTACAAAATCTAATCCTAGCATGGCTGTAAGTATATGTATAAGCTCTTCATATCTAAAAAGCCGGTTTAATAAATCATCTGACGTAATTGTATATCTTGTGATACAACTATTACTTAATACAGACCTCATTATGTTTGTACTTTGTTTTTCCAGGTGCTTTATATACAAGCTTTTATTGGGGTATGGATCTTAGGTAAACTTATGAGAAAGATATTTTTTGGACAACTAAGAACGACTGAATTTGAGGTAAGATATTTTTTTATCGTATTATTTACCACTAAAATAATTTTATCTAGCATCTCATGGAGAGATCATGGTATGCAATAACAGAAACATGCCTAGCATTTACGGTGTTTCGGGACGATTTTACTCCAAAATTTGTAGCTCTTTTCACTCTATTATTATTTTTGAAATCTTTTCATTGGTTAGCTGAAGATCGAGTTGACTATGTAAGTACTTAAAACTTGTTACCATTTTTTTTTTAATAAAAAAATGTGTTTTTAGATGGAAAGAAGCCCTGTTATAAGTTGGTTATTCCATGTTAGGATCCTGAGTTTATTGTTACTGTTAGGAGCTTTAGATTTACACTTTATCTTGCATGCTTACCAATCAACAGTGACTAAGGTAGGGGTTTTTAAAATATTTTATTGGAATTGAGTTAATTCATGTTTTTAGGGCGCCTCAGTCCAGTTAGTGTTTGGTTTTGAGTATGCAGTACTAATAACAGTTGTTATCAACATAGGAATAAAGTATGCACTTCATTCAGTGGATTTGAATAGTGAAACTCCATGGGATAACAAAGCAGTATTTCTGCTTTATACCGAGCTTGTCATGGGGTTGATAAAAGTTATATTATATGTAGCCTTTGTGGTAATCATGGTAAGTTTAATGTGTATCTGTCTACCTTGGTTAACCTACTATATTAAACTATATTTCAGGTTAGAATATATACTTTACCATTATTTGCGTTCCGACCCATGTACTACACTATAAGAAACTTTAAGAAAGCGTTTAGCGATGTCATTTTGTCTAGAAGAGCCATTCATAATATGAACACTCTGTATCCTGATGCTACACCAGAAGAATTACAGGCTGCCGATAATGTTTGCATTATTTGCAGGGAAGAAATGGTGACTGCTTCAAAGAAGCTTCCTTGCAATCATATATTTCATACATCTTGCTTAAGGTATTTGTGTAATGTTTTTTTCATATATTTCTCTAACATTTTTGTATAGGTCATGGTTTCAAAGACAACAAACATGTCCAACCTGTCGTTTGAATATCCTACGCACTCCAACTCCACCAACAAATAATAACATTCCAGGGGCACAAGCTAATCAAGTACCAAATGCTTTCTTCAACGTTTTTGCTGCCGCTGGACCAAATCCATTTCAGTTTCAAAATCAGCCTAATGCCGAAGTTGGGGCCAACGTAGCGCCCCCTGGACCACCTCCTACAACTTCAGGCTCTGCTGCTACAGCACCTCCAGCAGGTGAAAATTTGGGTAACAATATTCTAAAGCTGAGTCGTCACTGCGCGAATCTGTCTTGCAAAACTGTTGCGCCAAACTAGTCTTCCTTTTGTGGACTTTGTACCCACTCCAAAACTTGTCTTGCAAGTATGTTTCAAAATGAGGCTGCGTTGTCGGTTTTGGATCACATGTCAAAGAGTTCTGCCTTTTCTGTTGCTGTCAGTTGGTTTTGCTTAGACCCGCTTTGTTTTGTAGCTCGAAGATATTTGCAACACAGATTTATGCTACATTTTCGCGCAGTGACAACCCAGGTTAAGGTAAAGAGATATAAACTATGTCTATACCTTTGCGGCAGGTTTCTTTATTCCCATTCTTTAGAAAAATCTTATTTTCGCTTTTTAAAGAAAGCCTGGGTATTTCGCCACTTGAGGGTCTCCCATGCAATTTCCAGTCGGCCGATTATTTGATTGGCCTACTTCGCATTTGTGCTGACATAAGTAAGCAACACCCCATAACAAATCAACGTTTATCAAAATGTAATTTTTATAAATTTTATGAAGAATTAGGGATGCCCTTTAGTCTTCCTAGTTATTTTTCCTAAACTTATAAAGATTATGAGACATATTAGGATATGTTAACATCATGAGACATATTAGACATCATGAGACATGCTCCAAGCTTATATTTACTAGGTACAACACCACTAGATCTAATAATAACTATAATACCTTAACCTAACCTAACCTAACCAAACCAAACCAAACTAATATCTACGAAAAATGTCATACCTATATGGCGGATTCATCTCTCCAAAAAAATCCTTTATTTTTTTTTCAAAATAAACTAATTTTAGATGTTTACAGGAAACCCACAAACACAGATAGATACTTAAATTACTCATCTAATCACAGTATAAGTGTAAAAAAAGGTGTTATAAAAAGTTCTATTGAAAAGTATATTGCAATTGACAAGCGTGTCTGCTTTTAATAGGAACTGGCAAGGCATTATACCTTTGCATTATACACTATAGTTCCAGTGTAGCTATAGAATTTTCAGCCATCGTTTTCATTCTCGAACTCTCTCAATCGCCTGCCCACCAAATGAAAGAGATTGGTGACTTCATTATGGCATTTCGTAAATTACTGCATATTATTTTTTAGTAATTGTCATTGTCATTCGATTTGGGGTTATAATTTTATTGATGGACATCGATCAATGTTAAAATTAAAATTTGATTGTTGTAAATCAAAATTCATTTTTTTTATCGATGTACTTAAACAGCCGTTAAACGGTAGCCTACTAAAATGCCGTTAATAGATATTGTGACGTCGTTCGTGTCGGCGGAAAGTAATGCCTAGCCATAAGCATATTGCAAGACCACCTGTGGCTCCGTGGCTGAGGCTGTCGGTTCGTAAGCGAATGGTCCGGGGTTCAAATCTCACGCTGATCAAGACTTTTTTATATTTTTTTGCTTATAGCGTGATCTTATTGCATTGGTTTCACTCTTTTTGTTTGGATTGGTTTAGTTATTTGGCGGGTTGGTTAGCGTGGTTATTTGGAGGGTGTTAATTCATAGGTTAGTTGGTTATTTGGTGGGGTTGGTTGGTTTTTACTAATTTATTTGTTTTTTAATTTTTTTTATCAGTGTCGAGGTTAGTTGCGTTGGTTAAGTTGGTTATTTGGTGGGGTGGATAGCGTTGGTTAGTCCTTATAAAATTCCTATATTTCATAAAGTCGTCAAGTGTGTCACATCAACGACGTCATACCTATTAACGGCATTTTAGTAAGGTACCGTTTAACGGCAGTTTAAGTACAGCCTTTTTTTATTACAAAAATGCCTCAAATATTTAACCAAAATGAACAAAAGCTCACTGCTAAGCTTATAAATAATTTTTCTCTAGAAAGAGACGCTGGTAGAACATTTTTGCCCGTGGACTCTGTATATGAAATAAGCACAATACAGGGTGGCGCACGACATTCGCCTCGGTTGATTATACAAAAACGGGAAGATGTAGAAACAAAATATTTTATGGGTATATGTGGGGAGGCAATGTGCACAATTTAAAATTATTTTGAAATATACAGGGTGTTTCGGAACTAAGATCCATACCAAAGTTATATTTTTTCTTATGGAACACCCGGTATTTTATTTCATTTTTGGATTCTTGGGCTCAAAAAAGGCATTTATTATAAGGGTTAAATATGTTTAAAATCTTTGATTTTTGAGATATTTAAAGATATTTAAATTTGCATGCTAATGTAAAATAGATTATTAACACCCTGTACATTACATTTCAGAATTAATTCTTGTGCTGAGTTTAAAGGTAGAGAAATGAACTTTACAGAAAAATGTTATTGCTTCCTTAAATTTATACAGGGGTATCAAAAATTGCTTATTTATTTTAGGAATTTATTTTACATAAAAACTTTGTTATTTCAAATACAACACCCCATATTTTTTTAAATAAGCCGAAGCAGATTCAAATGCTCTGTCAAACTATATTAGGGTTTCCTATACCTATCTAGCTCAGATTTTGAATAAAGAGCAATTTTTCAATAAAATGGCAACCAAGAGGGCTAGTATCGTCATGGCAAGTTTCTAGTGACAGTTACTAGCTATTTTCAAAATCGAAATTAGTTTATGGGCTTATTTAAATTTATACCAGTTGGTATACAACCTACAATAGTTTAATAAATAATATTTATTAAATATGTATTTATTATTCTACCAAGAAAAACGAAGAAGTAGTTCTTTGATTTATTTTACGATGACTTGTAGTTGGTATATTTAAGTAAACTGTTATAAATTATAAATAATAATGTCCATAAACTAATTTCTACTTTGAAAATAGTTACTAACTGTCACTAGAAAATTTCCATGGCGACAGCAGCCATCTTGATTGCAATTTTATTTAAAAATCGCTTTTTATTCAAAATATGGGCTAGATAGGTATAGGAAACCCTAATATAGTTTGAAAGAGCATATGAACCTGCTTCGATTTATTTTAAAAAATACATGGTGTTGCGTTTGAAATGATGAAGTTTTTATATAAAATATAATATCTTTAAAATAGATCAACAACTTTTGATAGCCTTGTATAAATTTAAGGAAGCAATGCCATTTTTCGGTAAAGTTTATTTTTCTACCTTTAAACTCAGCATAAGAATTAATTCTGAAAAGTAATGTACAGGGTGTTAATAATCTATTCCATTATATGTGAAAAAATAAAGATTTTTAACATATTTATCCCTTATAATAAATGCCTTTTCTTGAGCCCAAGAATCCAAAAATGAAATAAAATTCCGGGTGTTCCATAAGAAAAAATATAACTTTGGTATGGATCTTAGTTCTGAAACACCCTGTGTATTTCAAAATAATTTTAAATTGTACACATTCTCTCCCCACATATACCCATAAAATATTTTGTTTCTACATCTTTACGTTTTCGTATAATCAACCGAGGCGAACGAGGTGCGCCGCCCTGTATAAATGTGTAATATTCCTATGTAAAATGCAAATTGATAGCGTTTTTAAATAATGTAGCGAGTTGTTGATGCTTTAGATATAGGAATTTCAACAGTCCAAAGGATTGGAATTAAAGGTATCGTAACTGATGAAGAGTTCAAGAAAAAATGAATAAATACCGAAAAAAACGGAACTCGCTCAATCAATATAGGAACGAACTTAACATTTTCTAAACAATATAAACTGACTGATCTCAGACACACCCTAAAACTCATATTTGACAAATAATAATGATGTCTTTATTTAATATGTCTCTGAGCATAGATAAAGGAAATAAATTTCGATTGGAATGCCCATCAAAATTTATAATTGTTTTGGATCGCGACCGTTGTACGCGATCTGGCCCTGCTATAGCGGTTGCTAAGAACAACCGCAAACAATAACAAATAATTTTCTCTTGTCAAAGTCAGAATCTTCAAAAATTATAAAATCTTTCAAAATCGTGGATCGTGGCATAACGCCGGTTTCCAATGTTTCATAGATGTTTCATACATGTCCTTATATAAAATAAAGTTTCTTGTATGCAGCACACTGAATTTTATTTATAAAATTAAAAGAAAATAATAAATTTGAACAAATAATATTTGGTGACATAATTCCGGAAAAAGCCGAACCGATCCGAAATTATCAAAAACTTTGGGTCGCAAACGTTGCAAGAATAGCCCCAAATAGTATTTACATTGTCCTTATGGGCACTTACCAATCTAAACTTGTTTCATTTATCTACGTTTGAATTGTTAACGAGAACGAGTGATAAGTTGCTATTTACGGCATTTTGAGTGTTCTGCTTGAGGGCCATAAAGACCAAACTTTCCAACGCCGAGCTGGTTCGTATGAACGGTAATTCAAAATACAGTGTGAATAACACCATTTGAATACATAGGCTAATAGGACCAACGAGTGAGTTGAGCCGTCGAGTCAGCGCCCCTTGGTGTGTATGCTTCAATAAAAATGTACAAAACCATGCGTCGAGTCGAGCGGATGGGAGTGACAAATGTATTTTGTGCTAAAGTAAATTGTATTATCTGTCATTTCTTGGATACCATCTATCGAAATCTTCACTGACACGTTGGAAGACTCTCTAGTTGATTTGGATTTTCAAGAAACAAAAAGATATGTTTTAATAATGGTTTTTAGGAAACGGAGCTGGACAGGCGCCTCCGCAGTTCATGTTTCCGCCGTTTCCCTTTCCGATGCCGTTTATGGTACCTCCTCCGCCTCCTCCGGCAAATTTGGCAGCTCTTTCCGAAGAGGAATTACGTCAGCTCGAAGGAAACGAGAGGCATAATGTTGAAGCAAGAATACAGTGCTTAAGAAACATTCAAGTAAGCTCGTCTCCAACAATAGAACTAAAATTTGTTGTGGTATACCGGGTGCGTCTCAAAAGTGGCCCACCACTATAACTTTTTTATTTTTTCAAATAAAAACACGAGATTTCGTATATGACATAAATTAGGATTGATTGATGTATTTAATTGTTTTTTGGTCACTTCCTCTTTCACCGGAAATGACTACAATTTTTGATTTTTAAATGGCACCCTCGGTATATTTTTACTTTATTCGATAGAAAATGACACTCTGAATAGAATGACATATTATATGTCAACTTTTGACATTTTCGCATATGGTTTATTTGAAATTGTAACATGCGGTTATAACGATAATTTGACTCGAAATACCAAGTGTATGGTGCCAAATTATTCGTAAAAAATGCTTTTTCCAAATATGCTAATGAGCCACCTTTGTTCCATTTGAAAAAATTAAGATACAATTAAAAATACGATTTGGGCATCTCTTAAACGACCAGGGCAAAACACGAAAAACATTAGATGATCAAATCTATTTTTCCAAGGCTCCCAAATTAAAAATTATATATAATAGCTCCCGTATATAGCGTTTAACGCCTTGTGAGTAGCAAGGTACAGCTTGCCATACTAGAGCCGTTCGGTATACAAAGAAGGTAATGTGGCTAGCACTACGCTTCAACCGCCTATTATTTCAACCGCCTCAGGATTATGAATCCCAAGTACTCATTTAAGGCTGAGTCGCCGTAGGTACCCAAACTATTTTTATTTTAATAAAAATAGTCGGCTGATGCAATGCCGGGTGTGGGATCTTCCTCCACCAAAACGTCTCTCAGTCTAGCTTGCAAAATGCTTTTCTTTCCATCTGTCTCGCACTCTCTCTCTTCCAATATGCATTTCAGTTCGGACACTTTCAAGTCTTTCAACAATTTTTTCGAAGTCATTGTCAGTCTTATTTATTTTTTTCTAGTCTATCACACACGCCACACTTAACACCAATTGTTACGTTTTTCGTCGGTTCCGTGTGGATAGAAAGTCACAATTTATTTAAACACTATTTATTTAACACTAATTAACAAAAACAATAACGATAAAAGACTTAATAGAACTATTTACAAACGATTTATAACTAAGAATTTATTTTGAATTTTAGCGCGTCAACTGCACTGGTATATTTATAACTGCCCCCTGTAGGCCACAGCCGCCGGCTTTTATACCGACAGGTAAAGAACGCTAGAATAGTCCATAGATCGTTAGGTGCGTAGAGAAGGTTTTTCGAATGTTCTCGTATGTACTAGTCCATTCCAGTGGGACTCGATTCTTCTCGAACGAATGAATCATTGCGGTGTCTATGCGATGTTAAGGTCATCCGAGGGCGGGCCATATTGTGAGGTTAGGTCGAGTCCACACCGGTCCGCAACAATATGTCATTCTATTCAGAATGTCATTTTCTATCGAATAATGTAAAAAAATAACGAGGGTGTCATTTAAAAATCAAAAGTTGTAGTCATTTCCGGTGAAACAGGAAGTGACCAAAAACAAATGAATACGTCGATCAGTCCTAATTTATGTCATATACTAACTTACCAAATCTCTTTTTGTCATCTGAAAAAAAAACAAAAAAAAATATAGAGATGAGCCACTTTTGAGACGCACCCGGTATATGAACAAGAATGGTCGCAACTAAAGAAAAATACAACTATATATTTTGCTTTAACATTCAATATCTTTATCGACTCGACGAATCAATCGGAACGGTCTCGTGTAAACGGGCTGTTAGAATAAAAATACTCGTGTTTTTTAAAGGTCCTTCTCGACGCGGCTGTCCAGATGATGCAACAGTACAGTGTCGCTACAGCGCAACAACAACCACCCCAAAGACCGCCAGAAGCGAATTCGACTAATAGCGAAGCCGCAAACGGTAGCACTCCACCTACCAATCATCCTACGTCATCACAGCAACCCGGCACCAGTGCCAGCTCATCGGGAGATGCAGGCGATTCTAAAAAAGGTATGCTTATACATTTTTTTGTCCAGAAGAAAAAAATAACGATTTTTTTTAAGAACCGCCCATAGAGATAACATCCGCGACTATTGTAAATGGTGTAAGCGAGAGTTTAGACGAGAATAGTACTGTAACTGCTGAAGAAGAACTGAGAAGAAGAAGGTAAGTTAAAAATTAAGAAATTGTACTTTTTTGGAATAGTCTGTAATAATTTACAGACCAGTACGGAAGAAAAATAGTATATTGTGCAACTAGTGCGAAAAGTTGTCGATTGCCCACGAGAGCGAAGCAATCGACAACTTCGCGCGAGTTGCACATACTATTTTTTATTACGTTGATTTTTAAAATGTCTCTTTTGTTATATTTCATCATGTAAATAAAAGAGACTTATTAAAAAGCAAAAAATACTTTAAAAATCTCGTCACAAGAAAAACAACTTTTGGAACACCCCATAGATGAATGCAAAAGATGACTTTAAAAACTTCAAATTTTTAAATCGAATTTTAGAGTAGAAAATGAAGGAATTTTAACGTTTCTTCTTCATAATGGTGTTTAATAATTTGTTTACATGATGAGATATAACAAAAGAAACATATTAAAAAGCAACGTAATAAAATAAACAAAAAATAAAAAAATTGTTTAAATGTCAACCTCACTTCTTTAATATTGACACTTCGAGACTGTCTTTTTTGCTTTTTAATTTGCGTGTGCCAATAAAAATTTGGGTGAAGCAATAAAAAATTGGGTGAATTCAATTAGCGTCTTTTCGACTCCAAAAGAAAACGAAAAGAGACTACTTTCCCCGCATGAGTAATAAAAACATCTTTTTGTACTTTAAATTTTTTTATATCAACCTAGCTTCCGATTCTGCTTTGTTCCATTTTTACTTTATTCAATAGAAAATGACACTCTGAATAGAATGACATACCACACACTTGATATTTCAAGTCAAATTATCGTAATGAAACGCATGAAATGTCAAAAGTTGACATATGATATGTCATTCTATTCAGAGTGTCATTTTCTATCCAATAAATTAGAAATATACCGAGGGTGCAATTTAAAAATCAAAAGTTGTAGTAATTTTCGGTAAAACAGGAAGTCACCAAAAACAATTGAATACGTCAATTAATCCTAATTTATGTCTTATACTAACTACTAACATACCAAATGGTATTTTTTTCTTTGAAAAAATAAAAAAAAGTTATAAAGGTGAGCCACTTTTGAGACGCACCTGATAATGTTAATAAGGATATTTACATTATATTTTTCTGTTATAGACTACAGAGATTTTTACAAAATGAACAACAACAACCAAACTAGCGGGCTGATTGGAAAATTAGGACCAAAAATACGAGACAGACAGACAACCCCCCTCCTATTGATTTGTTATTTATCATTGTTAATTTATTAAATAATTGTCATAAGGTTTATTATTGAGAGGCTGAGAGGTTATTTTTTATATATATGTATTTGTAATGTGTATATCGGAGGAGCTTTCTTTTGTGATAGTACCTAGCATTTTTTTTCGTTTTTTTTTTGATTTTATGTTGATAAGTGAAAAACTGAGCAAAGATTTTTAGGTTTTAAGGTAAATTGTAATTCTGGAAGTGTAAATTGTATTTCTGGAAAGTGTAATATATTTCTTCTACGGTTTAGTTTACGTTTTATTGCAGTTCATCTACGTGCAATGATTAAAAATACTGTGGTTAGGCTTCTGGGCAGTGTTGCCAGAAATTTTCGAGCGAATTTCTTCAACGGAGCCTTAAAAAAACCTTCATAATCCTTCAACTTCACAAAACACTCCAGATCTTGTGAAAAATCACCAAATTTCGTGTATTTTGCATATTTTATAATTAGGAGAAAATTTTTAAAAACTAATTTGTGGTAATTTTTGGATACCGATGTATAAATAAATAGTCTAAGAGCTAGCAACGTTTTCGAGAAAATATTTTAAGAAAGCTGGCTCTATATATATAAAATATGTATCTAAGATATATATTTTACTATGCTCTCTGGAACAGCATGCGGCCCATCTGGCTGCCGATACCCGTTGCGTTCACTACTGCGGATCGGAAGAAGATCCTATTTTTTTTATTTAGTCCGTTAAATTGTAGTATTGAATATAAATCGAACAAGTCTCAACTACGAACCGAGGATTCAGAGTTCGAGACCGGGTCCAGGGCAAAAACTTTTTTATTTTATTTTCGTTTATATTCTGATAGTAAAGTATTAAATATTTGTTTTTTTTTAATCACCAGAGTTATTTAATACTTTACTACCAGAATATAAACGAAAATAAAATAAAAAAGTGTTTGTTCAAAAACATTTGTACGATATCGTGTGTTTTTTAACCTCACTTTTTTTGAAAACATTGGTTTTTAAATAGAAGTTTAGTGGGAAGTGGGCAATTTCGGGATATTTGGCGAGGAAGTTATTTTTATAAGTGTTTCTCCAATAATACATGACATGAATCTCTATTCAATGCAGCCGAAAAATGTCAAAACTGTCAAATTTCGGAACGAACGTCCGGATGTATGTGACAGGCTTTTTTTATTTCACAGGATAACTTCAAATTTCGGATGTCGTACCATCGGGTTTCGGATGCATGAGACTCCGGCTTAAGCGCTGAGCTATGGAAACTTGGTCGGTTTATATTCAATACTAGAATTTAAGGGACTAATAAATATATAGAATCTTCTTTCAATGCGCAGTAGGGAACGCAACCTTTATCGGCAGCCAGACGGGCCGCATGCTGTGCCAGAAAGCATAGTAAACAATATATTAAAGAGCCAGCTTAATACTTGTTTTCCCGACGTTGCTAGCTCTCGTACTAAAACTTTTTATTAAAAAAATAACACAATCAAAAATGCTGTGGTGGATATTCGACAGCAGTATGTTTCAAAAAATTCATTGCTTACAATGACTGAACTGAGAATAATTAATCGTGCAAAACGCCATGATCTTATTAGATGTTTTCCGTTTACGTATTTATTTATTTTCAACATCAAGAACTTTTAGTTATGGTAAGTATGTGTGTAATAAGACGTGTTGAAAGATAAAGATATATCTATTATATTTTTGTTAAATGTTAAAATCTTTTGAGTTGCGGATTTTTTGACAGCAACATTGTTTTAAACTGAGGCATCCTTAATTAAACACCGTTAAAATGAAAAAAATATATGTAGGAAAAACAATAAATACTCCTACTAGGTACAGTACGTCTGTCCGTTCTATAGCTACGCGGTATCCGTGAGAGGGGAAACGATATTCTCTCGATGTTTTTCGTAAAAAATTAGACGACGCGCCCATCAATAAAAATTCGACAAATTTGCAAGTGGCCAATAAAATGAGTGGACGGAGCGATTTGCGGTGACGTACTCGTCAAGTCGACGTATAAAATATATTGCTGTTTACTTAAATGTTTTTTGTCCGCATTCCTTTCATAGACACAGATCCAGCAGATGTACTGTACATATTTTAACAATTTTTATTATGCAAAACTGCCAGAAACCTTTATATTGTTTTCTTTTTGGATAAAAATTCTTCAGCCCTTCAATCAACTATATTTGAAAATATCTAAATCACAGTCTAAATAAAATATGAAGGGAAAAAACGACGTCAGCGATGGCTATGTAATGAAGATCGCTGTCTTTATATTTAAAATTATATAGGGAATGCCATCGATCGTCATTACCAAGCCAACTGGACGTCGTTTTTTGGGAGTCAATTGATGTATTACATATTCAGCAGAGTTCTGTATTCATTTTTATTTATCACACTAATCAAATCTCTACAACGCAGAAACAATTAAAATTCATTTTCTCAGCTTTCCACTATCCATTTCAAAATGTCGTTTCTACCTAAACCGTTAATAGCACTGGCTTCGATTATTGTAATTTTTTGCTGTATTTCTCTCTGCAGTCTCTTCATCTGAAGCATCAGCAGTGCTTCGTTACGCATCTGACGATAACTTGAGTCCATCTTTGTCAAAACTATCAAAAACTAATTAAAAAATTGGTGAATTAACAGGAAAGTGTTGTAATTTAAATACCCTGGCGTTTTTTAGTAATGGATGAGCTACAACAGTGTACAAGAGTACACCAGCGGCTGATATTTGGCATAGGTTCGATGCATCTATGACATACATTACCTTTCCAACGTTTTCAAAATACTTGCTCCATATAGATGCCAAAGAACCTTAAAAAATAATAGATCAACATATTGGTTTTTGAGTAATTTCTAAAAATGTACAAATCCCAGTATAAAGGGTTATTCACCACATACGACACGGAGTATTGTATTTTTACAAATTGTAGTTTTGGGTTCGTTGAAGGACTATTAGAGCTACAAGTTAAAAATATTTTTTTTAAAAAGTGTATTTATTGATCAGATATTGTGTTGCGATAATAAAAATAATACTACCTTATACAGAGTGCCTAAAAATGTATATTAAATAATTACTAGCTTTCAACGGCAATAACTTGTTTAATTTAAATGGAACACCCTGTATATTTTACGAGAATCAGATGCACAATTTAATTGTCTATCAAACTGTATTATAATATTTTTTCTCTTCAAGTTTTCGTAGAAAATGCATTTTCTTATACCTAATTTAGGATTTATCAATATACCCATGGAATATTGACATTTTAGATTATCTTTAAAGATGTAACAAATTTACAAAGAGTAGAATGGAGTAGAAGATACACATTTTGTAGATATAGTTAGCTTATTTCATTAAAAGATACAAAAAACTTTAAATATTTGTAAAAAGGATTAATTAAATATACTACATGGATACCACCATTATTTCCGCCCAAAAATTAGTTATACATACTTAATTGGTTTAGTTAATAAATTATTCTAAATAAATGTGGATGTGAATCAGAAATCACTATTAATAAGTTATGACACTGATGATAATGAACGTCTCTGTTGTTATAAATAAGAATTCCTCAAAAAATGAAATAAAATTTATAAAGTTACTTTTTACCACACTGTCTAATACACATACAAAATTCAGTTTTTTGTATTTGGAGCAATTATTATTAATCAAAGCAAACAGTCATAATTAATGAAGTTTGAATACTGGGATCATATTAATTGGTCCTCTTTAACAAATATTTAAACAGTTTTTTTTATTTTTTAGTGAAATAAACAAATTATATCGACAATATTAGTATTTGTACTCTTCGAAAATTTGTTACATCTTTAAAAATAATCTAAAATGTCAATATTCCATGGGTATATTGATAAATGAGATCTAAATTATAAGAAAATACATTTTCTACGAAAACTTGGAGAAACAGGCAAAAAATGGTATTACACTTTGATAGACAATTAAATTGTGTATCCGATTCTCATAAAATATACAGGGTGTTCCATTTAAATTAAAGAAGTAATTGCCGTTTGAAGCCGGTAATTATTTAAAATAAATTTTTAGACACTCTGTATAAGGTAGTATAATTTTTATTATTGCAACACAAAATTTAGTAAATAGAAAAACATCAGTACAATATTTGGATTCAAAAACTTAAATACGCCTAGAGAAATGAAGCATTAAAATTGTCACTGTATTTTGACAAAAATGTAAATATTTTAAAAACGGTAAGATTAAAATGCAGTAAACTTTAATCAAATCTACCTTTATTTTAATCGTAGAAACGAAAAATGTATTAATATAAGGGTATTCTATTTAAAAAAAAATTTGATAATTTTATTTATTTGAGACACTCTACTAAACTATTTTTAAATTCAACTTATCCAATACTTACAATTTGTAAAAATCTAATCGTTTAGCTACAATACTCCGTGTCGTATGTGGTGAATAACCCTGTATACACCAGGGCATCCGATTACCTCCTATTTCTCGAATAGTATAAATTTTGTCTTCGATTTTCAAGTTTAATATGTTTGTGCCCACAGTTGGTATGGCTGTGGTTGTATTATCCACGTAATTGGGGTCTTGAATTTTCTTTAGCAAAAGGGTTTTTCCAGAACTTTCTGGACCTATGCACAAAACCATCGTTAATTTGGCGAGTTGTTTGTTCGATAAATCGATTTAAAATGAACACCAATTTTAAAAAGCGATTCTGTGACCTCTCGTTTTTGCGTGTCTACTGTGTTGATAAGTTTTACGAAAAATCATGAAATTTGTTTCAAATAAGAAAAATTATTTATACACTCAGATGCAAAAAAACGCAACGGAAAATTTTTTCGTTACGTTTAAAGTGTTATTTTTTTACTTTTAGCCCTATTTTATGATTTTTTTAGCAAACTGTATATAAATCTATCAACTTTAACTCATTAACTTAGGTTTCTATAAACTTTAGTATTTGGCTCTTTATACAGGGTTGTTTTTTTACCTTAACTTTAATTTCGTGAGTAACTTTTCCTAAAACATTATTTTTCGATCAAAACCTTATTGTCTCCTGGGCATTTTGTTTTTTGACTCATGTTAACACATGCCTTAGTTAATTTTTAAGAGTGAAATGAACTTGCCACCAACAATTTGTATTTTTTTGAAGTCTCATTTCTTTATGATGTGATTTTTCAATATTACGAAGTGACTTTGGTGACTAATGTCATATCGACACTGATTAGAAATATATATTAAAATTTATAAAACGTTAAAAAGTAACTACAGGCTTGGGTTTAATAAATTTTAGTAACAGTTTATTGTTTATATAATCAAGGGTAACACTAACAGAACTAAGGATATTAAAAAAAAATAACTATAATAACTAAAAGTGTACAAACAAACAAAAAATTTATTAAAAAATACTCTTATACTTTGTAATGCTTCCCCCGGCTGCTATGTCTGTATATAGACGTCGGTTCATATCAAAGACATTGGTTCATACTGTTAATGAGGCTGCAAATATATTGTGTAATGTTTTCCCAATCTTCTTCAAGGGCCAAGCGAATAATCATAATTTCGGCCATTTTCAACAAGATCGATAACTTTTGCACAATCTTAGATACTAAAGGTGGCTACACACACTACTGCAAGCTTGATAAGCATGCATGAACAATCTTTTTGTACAAGCCATGCATAATTTACCTTCGCCGCCACACGGTACATGCATACTTGAACAAGCTTCAGTTTATGCCGCGAAAATGTCTGATTCGGACGACGACTTGCTTGCTTTGGCTGCTTTTTACCTTATCCGTAAAAAGAAAATGCAAAAAAAGAAACGTGATGTGTGGTAATTTTATATATAAAATAAATAATACATAAATTTTGTATGCTTATACATAAATTTTTTATGCTGCATCCTTCTTCACCCTATCATGATATTCGGTGATTTAATTCGCCAAAGACACGGCTGATTTTCGTATGCGCGAATAAAATCTTCCAATAATCCTCGATTGCTCCTTTTCAGATCGCTAGACATGATGGCGACGCGACGTACAGGTCATTTCGGACGATCACGGACTGAACTATGTAATTGTTTGTACAAGCTGAATACATGTGTGCACACGTACCGTTTCGCTTGCGCAAGCATGGCTTGTCTAAGCTTGCATGATTCAAATTCAATCAATTATCAAGCGGCTTGCGCAAATTTTCCCTACAGACGCTACAGTTTGCTTGTACAAAAAATTGTTCATGCATGCTTGTCAAGCTTGCAGTAGTGTGTGTAGCCACCTTAAGAACCATATTCAATCCTACACAACAATAATCACCAAAGCCACCTCGTCATTATGAAGAATAACTCAGAAAGTAGCGATAAAACTGCAAAAGGTTTGTTGCAAGTTAATTTTACTCTTAAAAATTAACCAAGGCATGTCTTGAAATGAGTCAAAAAACAAAATATTCAGGATACATGGTTCTGCCCGAAAAATAATGTTTTAGGAAATTTTGCAAAATTATTGTACAGGGTGTTTTAAAGATAGGGTAAAAACAACTCTTCGATTAACCCTGTATAATAAGTAAAATACTAAAGTTTAAAATAAACTGAGTTTACGAATATAATATATTTATATACAGTTTGCTAAACAATCAAAGAAATAGGGCTAAAAATAAAAAATATAACATTTTTACACTTGATCAATTTTTTTCCGTTGCGTTTTTTTGCATCTGATTTAAAAATCATACTTATAATTTGAATATTTGTTTTACTTTCTCCTATTTGATCGAATTAACATTAAATTATTGAATTATAGTGACAATCAAGAAAAATACTGTTTTTATATCAACGATAAGAATTTTATACTCGATTTCTAACCATTTGACTTAAAATTTCATGGTGATTTTCAGTTCCGATGTTTACACCATGTTTACACGACCGAGAAACTTCTGTGGTTTGAAAAAAAAACACTTCATAATTTCTATTGCAAGCATATATAACGTGAAAATAGTAAAAATCGGGCTCAGTTTGATATTAAGTCTGTTTAAAAACGTCAAAACAAAAAATAGGTATACAATGTTTTCTATTAAGGTAAGTATTTTCCTTTTAGAGAACTGAATACTGTAATTAGACACAACTTTGGGGCCCTTAATTAGTATTTAGAATCTTTATAAATTATTTTTTTTAACAATAATTATAATAACAAGCGTTACTAAATAAAAGGCATTTTACATAGAGGGAAAGTATTTTACAATAAGAAAAGGTTAAAAGTGGAAATTTTTTGAATATAAAAATTTAATCTAGTTATTCAACTAAAATTAACACGACATATACAGCGATATAAAAAATAATTTGTAGAAACTAAGAAATATAACACTTTAAATTTGACCAAAAATTTCTCCGTTGCGTTTTTATTGCATCTGAGTGTATATAATTTTTCTATTCTTTTTCAGTTATTAGTATTAATTCTATCATTCGCCACTACCATTATATCAAACCCTATAGAATACCAAGATTCAGGAGTGACAGGTTCAGAAGGTAAGTCAACGTTTCGACGTTTCAGTTACTTATTCTATGGTTTGGTTTGGTTTCAACCTAAAAAGAGCATAATATATATTTGGAATTTTAGGCAATCATGGTAGAGTGCAAATCAAAGTTTTTAGAGGCCCTACTGAGCATGATGGAGATGAGACATACGCACCTTGGGGCTATTGGGTTAAGCAGCCTGCTGATGTCAATCAATAGTTGCTCATTCTCATTATTAATTTATTACTTTGTATATTTAAGTGTTTCATTCGTCAAAACTATTTTTAACTAAAATAAAAACAAACCATGTTCAATGAATATTGATTGATCTTAAGACTATTACGCTGTACTGTTCGGGTCGCTCTTAGGGGTCAAACGGGGGTAAAGCGGGTGTGTAGCAGAAGGAAATAATATACAGGGTTGTTCACCACATACGACACGGAGTATTGTAAGTTTTGGGTTCGTTGGAGGGCTCTTAGAGCTACAATTTAAAAATAATTTTACAAGATACAGAGTGTCCCAAATAAGTAAAAAATATAATAGTTGTATTTTTTTAAATGGAATACCCTGTATATTATTCTATTTTTAGATTCTACGACTGAAATAAAGGTAAATTTGATTAAGGTTTATCGCACGTAAACCTTACCGTTTTTGAAATATTTTCAATTTTGTGAAATTGCAGTAAAAAATGTAAGGCTTTATTTCTCCAAGGGTATTATTACCTTATACAGAGTGTTCAAAAAATTATATTAAATAATTACTAGCTTTCAACGGCAATAACTTGTTTAATATAAATGGAACACCCTGTATATTTTACATGAATCAGATGCACAATTTAATTGTCTATCAAATTGTATTATACTATTTTTTACCCATTTCTTCAAGTTTTCGTAGAACATGCATTTTCTTATTATTTCGACCTCATGTATCACTATACCCATGGAATATTGATATTTTAGATTCTTTTAAAGCAACATTTGTACACCATACAGGTGATAAAATTAATAATATTACAAGCCCATTTGTTTACAAAAAGAAAACTATTTAAATCTTTGTAAAAGAGTATAAATGATTACTAATTATTAATATACTCCGCCGATTATTTCCACCTAAGAATTAGTTAATTACATTATTTAATTGTTTTAATTAATTAATTATTCTAAATAAATGTGGATTTGACTCAGAAATCAATACAATAATAAGTTATGAAAATGAACGTCTCTGTTATAAATAAGACAATTCGTCAAAAAATTAAATAAAATTTATAAGGTTTTACTTTTTACCACACTGTCTAATACACATACAAAATACAGTTTTTTAATATTTGGAGCAATTATTAGTAATCAACGTAAACAGTCAATTAATGTAGTTTAAATGTTTAAATACTGGGATCATATTAAGTGGTGCTATTTAACAAATATTTAAACAGTTTTTTCTTACTTATATTTTAATGAAATAAGCGAATTATACCGACAATATTAGTACCTGCTACTCTTTGAAAATTTGTTACATTTTTAAAAATAATCTAAAATGTCAATATTCCATGGGTATAGTGATAAATGAGGTCTAAATTATAAGAAAATGCTACTTCTAGGAAAACTTGAAGAGATAGGTAAAAAATGGTATAATACAATTTGATTGACAATTAAATTGTGCATCTGATTCTCGTAAAATATACAGGGTGTTTCATTTAAATTGAACAAGTTATTGCCGTTTAAAGCTAATAATTATTTAATATATATTTTTAGACACCCTGTATAACGTAGTATTTTGTTTATTATTGCAACGCAATATCTGATCAATAAATAAACTTCAGTAATTATTTAGTATTAATAACTACGATACCCTTGGAGAAATGAAGCCTTAAAATTTTTACTGCAATTCCATAAAATTGAAAATATTTCAAAAACGGTAAGGTTTGAGTGTGATAAACCTTAATCAAATTTACCTTTATTTTAATCGTAGAATCTGAAAATATAATAATATACAGGGTGATCCATTTTAAAAAATACAACAATATATTTTACTTATTTGGGACACTCTGTATCTTGTAAAAATATTTTCAAATTGTTGCTCTAATAGTCCTTCACCGAACCCAAAACTTACAATTTGTAAAAATCTAATCGTTTAGCTACAATACTCCGTGTCGTATGTGGTGAACAACCCTGTATATTTCAGAAATCTGCCTATGGTTATGGCTTAGCCCGATCCTGTCGTGTTAAGCCACACCCCACATTCCAAACACACGTGCTTTGATTAAGGTTTGCAGAACTTCAGCGTGTACCATAAAATAGCGAGTAATATGTTACAAAACCCTATAAATTATATATCATTGTAATCACAAAACTTCAATCTATTTCTGTATTGTATCGGAATTTCAGATTGTCTTTATTTTCGAGAAAATTTAGTCCAAACATAAGGAATATTTTGTTGATGTTTGACCATCAAAATCTTAAAAATAAAGAAGTTGTCTAAAAATGTGCTACAATACGGATATAGTATAATCCTTCAGCTTTAATTTCCTTCTTCATTTGTGTAAGAATACCTAGCCAGTTTTACATAAAACGGTAAATGCTCAACACTTATTTTACTACTTTTTCGGACTAGTGAAATGGACTAAGACCTTCACATAAAACAAAACAACTAACTTGAAATATATATTTCTAATAAATTTAATAAGTGTACATATTGTGATGCAAACTCCATATAAACGATTGCATTTTAAGTACTCTTAACAATATCATTAAAATCTTGTAAAAATACTATTCAAAATTCTTGTTCAGTACATTTTTAGCTGAATTAATTTTTAGAAAAGGCATTTTATAAGGACGGATTTTTTTTAATTCGATACTCTTAATTTATTTTTTTTTCAATGCATCCTTATTCTGTACTGAATAAACAAAATATTACAATAAGAGCTTTTTATTCCAGGATTAAATTATACAGTATGAAAGAAAAAAACTGCGTCAGCGATGTCTATGACATGAAGATCGCTGTCATTTTATATGTAAAATTATACGGAGAATGTCATCGATCGTGTCATTTCCAAGCCAACTGTATGCCGTCTTTTTTCCATCATATGGTATTTATACAGTACGTCCCCGGACTGTCTTTACAAGAGGAAAAACTTTTTTATTATTGACATTTTGAGAAAAACGCATTCTTCATAAAGATTTTGCTTGTTCTAAAAATGGTTAATTCGGTTTATACTTTATAATTTAATTTCCACACCGTTTTAGAGAAAATAAAAAAAAACATGAAAATATAGTTTAAATTTTAAGTTCTAAAAATTAAAAGGCGTTTCTATGGCAATATAACTTCAATTTCATATCATATTTCATGTCATATTTTTATCTAATGTTAAAAGACTTGCACCGCATTTCTGAGATAACTATTCGCATTCACACGCATTTTCCGAGATAACGATTGGTAGCGTTGAACTAAATAAATTTTGTGCTTCTTTAACATTTTATAACAGCAAAAAATATGACATCAATTAAAATTCAATCAATAACAACCTATCAAAGAATGAAATAGAAATTATATTATCATAGAAACGCGTCTTGATTTTTAGGACTTCAAAAAAAATTCAACTATACCGTTCATGCTTTTTTTAATTTTCTCTAAAACGGTATGGAAATTTGGTAGAGGTGAAAGTATAAACGGGATTAACCATTTCAGAACAAGCAAAAATTTTAATGAAGAATACATTTTTCTCAAAATGTCGATAAAAACATTTCCTCTTGTACAGACAATCCGGGAACATACTGTATGTTGTTAAAATATTTCATATATTCATTTTTAATTCGCTATTTAAAATTTATTTGAATCTCGCAGATACAAGAGATACAAAGCTCTTATTGCATATTAAATAAATGTGGGAATGTATAAAATAATGAACATGATAATAAAAAAGGTACTTAAAGTAATAAAATTACAATAATAATAAATATATACAAAGGTAAAATTTATGAAATATTTTGTAAAACGCTGCTTTTTTAAATATAAGTACACAGTGTGTTTTTCGTATCAAATGATTAAAATATACTTATTAACAGGTTAATTCAATACATAATATAATTTAAAAATTGATTAAAAATGAAAATAAATACAGTTACTATTATAAAAAAAAACATACATAAAAACTTACTTTGGAGAAATAGGAAATACTACATAATAATAATAGGGAGACAAAACTAACACATAAATTGATTATAAAACTTGGTATAAAGCTAAAATAGATACTTTTAAAATGGAATGTAAAATTAAAAGTCTTGGCGTATGTATAAAGATATGTCCCTCGATTAAGTACATTCAGTTCAAACTATAATCTACGTTTAAGTCAACTAATTCTCAAAAAACGTTATTATCAAATCTTCTATTCCAGATTTGTAATGTTACCGTGTGCCACTCATGTTGTTATACAGTGTGGGTTGATATGCATCCGTCATACGTTGTCCGTCGTTTCATCACACCAATCATGCTGATTATGTATGATTGTCATTTTTTAAATAAACTAATTAAAGTTACAAAATTAATGATCACCGATGGATGCATATAAACCCACACTGACTAAGAATATTTTCAATATATTTAAAACTAAAAGGGCAACGGTTGTTTCTTTTGAGCCGTATAATGTTTATAAGAGCATAATTATACAACAAAAGAATTTTAGTACATCTGTATTGCCTGTTTTCATAAATACCTACTAGTAATTTTAAAAAATAAAGCAAAAAATAGCATTTCCACCTCATTTCATGAATTTCAGCTATTTTAAAATTAAACAGTGGCAACAAAACTTGTCAAAATGTCAAAATACTCGATGATAAAAAAGTCAAACTAATGAGATGCAGCGTTTTTTTATTCATCATCGATACTCTTAGTGCACGGTCATATTAGCATCGCTTGAGCGGTGAGCTTTGGGCGTCGTGCATCGAGCGATATCATCTCAGGCGTTGAGCAGCGTTGTGCGTTCATATTGAACGAGCGGTGCGTTGCTATGTTTTAGTTGTTTTTTAGCCATTACAAAACAATTACGTTGGTAAAGATGCATTTGTTTAGAGAAAATTTTTGCCTAAAATTATATTGTATTCCTACCTATTGATATTGAAATCCTACCTAAATGGTAGAGTGTTTAGAGTCAGAATAGGTGAGGATATATCTGAAAATTATAGTATAAATGCAGGTGTTCCACAAGGTAGTGTCTTAGGACCACTACTCCATGTCCTTTTTGCAGCAGACTTTCCCACAAACAACGAAACAACAACGGTTACTTTTGCAGATGACACAGTAACTATGGCTGTCAACAAAAAGCCGGTTACTTTTAGTTACTTTTACTTTAGTAAAGTTAAGTTACTTTTACTTTAAATAGAGACCAGTGCCCTCCAGTATATTTAAACAACACACTAATTCCGCAGTCTTCCTCTACCAAGTATTTAGGCATGCACTTGAACACTAAGCTTAACTGGAAAGAACACATAGTAAAGAAACGTAAGCAAATAGATTTAAAAATAAAAGACTTATATTGGTTAATGGAAAGAAGATCCAAACTATCGCTAGAGAATAAACTTCTTTTATACAAAACCATAATAATACCTATTTGGACATATGGAGCAGAACTCTGGGGATGCGCTAGTAAATCAAATATAGCCATAATACAAAGGAGCCAATCTAAAATTCTACGGATGATAACAGACGCACCATGTCTCCAATCACACTATACATGAAGATTTAAAAATTCCGTACGTCAAAGAAGTCATCCAAACTCGGAGTGAAAAACATTTCATTAGGCTACACGATCACACCAATACCTTACTTCAGCCTCTACTTGAACCAGTACCTACAAGAAGACTTAAAAGACAATGGCCATCTGATTTGAAAGAATATTAAGGAGGATTTTTCACTGAAGAAGACCTCATCACGTTAACTGGAGCGTCATTGCTCTCAAGTCATCAAATTAGCTCATAGAATTTCCTTGCAAATATTCTGATTGCTAATAAATCATAATAAAAAAAAATATTTTTGATAAATGTTTTCACTACACCTATGGTGTATCCGGTGGTATCATACTAATTACGAAAAAAACGTATTAAAATGTTAACAAAAGGTACAAAACTAGTATCGACGTACAGCAAATATCAAGTACATATACTATCAGAAAAATAATTATCGAATTCGAAAAGAAAAACGCTAAAAAGGTAGAGTGGACTGTTTATTTCCCTATAAAACGTAACTCCTGGCTCTTTCTTATCATTGCGCCTTTTACACTTGAAAGCTGAACAAATTACCCTTGTAATAAAGTTTATACCAAGTTGACTACACACAACCAACTATTAAAAATCGCTAAAATTGTTGCTGATTACAAGCTGATGGCTCATTCGTTATGTCTAAAAAAATGGCGTCTAAGGTCACAAATTCTGCTGCAGCCCGTATATGGGCGTTACATGTCCCTTGTATTCTTTAGTCATTACATACAACCTAACCCTAAGAAATTAACCTTGACAACTTAAGGAAACGGCGTTCATACTTCTCCTTCTTGTCTTAAGAAAATAATCAATATTCTCGTAAGCTCTGACCCTCATATAAAACGTATGTTTTGAATTAATCTAAATTCACAATTATTTTTAATATTTCTTATACTAGAGAAACTAATTTTTACTTAATAATTTATAGACCAAAAAATACTATTATACAGGGTGGCGCACCTCATTCGCCTCGGTTGATTATACAAAAACGGAAAGATGTAGAAACAAAATATTTTATGGGTGTATGTGGGGAGGTAATGTGCACAATTTAAAATTATTTTGAAATGTACAGGGTGTTTCAGAACTAAGATCCATACCAAAGTTATATTTTTTCTTATGGAACACCCAGTATTTTATTTCATTTTTAGATTCTTGGGTCCAAAAAAAGGTATTTATTATAAGGGTTAAATATGTTTAAAATCTTTGATTTTTCAGATATTTAAAGATATTTAAATTTGCATGCTACAAATGAATAGATTATTAACACCCTGTACATTACTTTTCAGAATTAGTTCTTGTGCTGAGTTTAAAGATAGATAAACTTTACAGAAAAATGTTACTCCTTCCTTAAATGTATACAGGGGTATCAAAAATTGCTGGTCTATTTTAAATATTTACTTTACATAAAAACTTCGTTATTTCAAATGCAACACTATGTATTTTTTTAAATAAGTCGAAGCAGATTTAAATACTCTTTCAAACTATATTAGGGTTTCCTATACCTATCTGGCTCAGATTTTGAATAAAAAGCGATTTTTCAATAAAATTGTAATCAAGATGGCTAGTGTTAATTTTTTTTTGGCTAGCCATCTTGATTGCAATTTTTTTAAAAATCGCTTTTTATTCAAAATCTAAACTAGATAGGTATAGAAAACCCTAAAATAGTTTGAAAGAGCATTTGAATCTGCTTCGATTTATTTAAAAAAATACAGGGTGTTGCATTTGAAATAACGAAGTTTTTATATAAAATATATCCTTAAAATAGATCAGCAACTTTTTAATAGCCATGTATAAATTTAAGGAACCAATACCATTTTTCAGTAAAGTTTATTTCTCTACCTTTAAACTCAGCATAAGCATTAATTCTGAAAAGTAATGTACAGGGTGTTAATAGTCTATTCTATTGTAGCATGCAAATTTAAATATCTTTAAGTATCTCAAAAACTAAAGATTTTAAACATATTTAACCCTTATAATAAATGCCTTTTTTTGGGCCAAAGAATCCAAAAATGAAATAAAATACCGGGTGTTCCATAAGAAAAAATATAACTTTGGTATGGATCTTAGTTCTGAAACACCCTGTATATTTCAAAATAATTTTAAATTGTGCACATTGTCTCCCCACATATACCCATAAAATATGTTATTTCTACATCTTTCCGTTTTCGTATAATCAACCGAGGCGAATGAGGTGCGCCACCCTGTATATAAATAATATTAATATTAAAATAATATTATTTATTAACATTTATACACCGTTGAATTCAACATGTCGATATTATTTCGAGAATTCTTAAAACCCCTAATTTTGAGCATGCGCGATTCAGTTTTGAATTTAGCATTAGCCCTAAGAATAAAAAATATCCCAACCTATTAGGACTAAGGCTAATGTTAGGATCGATACAACGGAAGTATGCACGCTAGCGTTCCTTAACGTTGATTCGTATTCTTGGGGTTAGGACTAATGTTAGTGTTAGGGCTAAGATCGGAAGCATAAACCCGCAATAACAGCTGTACCCTGAGCTTGTAATCTTCATTATTTGTCATAGGAGATGTCATTATTGACAGGTATTGTACGCTAGTTGTGAAACACTGGTGTACGTGTAGTTGTGAAACACTGATGACACACATCACAAGTACATGCGAGAGGTAGCCGACGCTCTATATAGAGTATGGCACTGTAAGAAGATTGTACGCTATTTCTTCTTTGACACTTCTACAACCATTAAAAAAGAATAAAAAGTTCGGACGGTAGCAACGACGTCGCTCCAATTTCAAGCCCGAGCGGCAGTTGCGATGCACCGTGCAGCGCAGTCAATGTGAACCCTCTCATTTGAAACCCACAGCTTGAATTATTATATCGCGCAGCTTTCGACGCTCAAGCGGTGTCAATATGAACACGCACTTAGAGTATTAACAGGAAATACAGAGTGTCTTTAAAAAATACTGGCTCAAATTACAACTGATTTAAAACAAAATAATAAAGACACCATGGTGATTTCTTTCCTTTTTGTTGTTACATATACCTAACAGTTCCTTGTATGTTCCTGTTTTTTTTTGGTTATTTGTTATAAAACAAAATTGGAAGACAAAAACAAGACTTTTAGGAGTAAAAAACTTTTTTTCAATAACGTGAGAAAAAAAAAGGTAGAAAAAGAAGAAACATACAAGAAATCAAAATATACCTAACATTATTGGAGTTAACACTAGATACCTCCAACTATTAGAGATGTAAAATACCATCATCTTTAGTCTCGATATTAGCTGTCAAATCCACTATTTCATCTTGATCATATTTGTCTTCAGGGTCTGAACCTGCTGTAGTTTGAGACTGTTGTGATCCGCTAGACATATGCGAGTTCCTGCTGAAGCTACCTCTTCTTACTGGACCTACTGTTCTCTGATTGGCCGGTTTTACAGTAATTATTAGGTTGGAACTGTTCGCTATCATCATGTCAGTAACCTTTAACAAAAAAAAATCTTTTTGTAAAAGTACTTAAAAATTAAAATATTAAGGCTTTTTAAAAATAAATAAAAGCCTTGTATATGAATTTTTAAAGTAGCTCAACCTAAGACGTTTATGGATGTAAATCACCAGATGGCGGGGCGTATTTCACAGTCTTTGGTTGCGTTCATCAGGACAAGTTGATCAGTGAGCGATATGCCATCGATTGGTTGTCCTGCTGAACGCGCTTGTTAGATCAAAATCATAAGTAATGCATATTAAATTGTTTTCACCCATTTTTGGCACAAATCGAGGGGATTAGTCAACCGAGAACAATAAACAAAATGGTTTGTTTTCGTTTTCCAAAACATTTTGTAACATTTGGCGTGTGTGACGTTTAATCCATCATGCATCGGTAGCGTAGCGTATTTTATCTGATAGAAAAAATGGCGACTGATCCCAGAGCGCTCACAACTAATCGGCGCGTTCAGCAGAAAATTAGTGATCGCTGCAGTAGCGCTACGTCCTGATGAACGCGACCTTTTACTACAGAAAAATATTTTTTGTTACTCTGAATTTTAAAGCGACCAATAAAAACAGAGAAAATAAAAATCGATAATATTCGGACTGTGCCAATTGGTTACTAATCGACCAGATACTTTTTGTCTATTAGATATGCTATAAAAGCTGGTAATTATACAATTCGACCATTGTAAATACCCGACAAATTCCGCAAGGCCGACGAGGCCGATGCTTTTCACTGATAAGAAAAAAAAATGTTTGTTTAGATAAATAATTTTCAAGATTTTTCTTTCTGAATGCACGTTTTTAAAGTATTTTATATACTTTGTCCGCTTGATCTATTATACTGGTCGCACGTATCGAAGTTCTGTTTCTTCTAATTTTATAAAATGTTCTTATTTCTTTGTAGTTGTAGTGGTTGTAATGTAAAATTAGATTAATTTTATTAAGTTTAATTATAATGTTTAGTGTAGAATACCAGAAATAGTTTAGTAGTGTTTTTATAGTTTATTATTTTGTAGTTAAGTATTAGGTGAAGGGATAATTTGGTTATTTTTTCTTTTTGTTTGATTAATTAGTAAGTTTGATAATAATTTTTTCAGTGTAGAATACAAGAAGTAATTGTGTAGTGTTTTTATAAGAGATTATATTAGTTTATTTTGTAGATGAGGTATTTGGGTATTTTTTCTTTTTATTTTTCTTCTAATTGTAATAATTCTATTAAGTATTGTGATAGATACACTATATCTTCCTTCAACTTCGTTGAAAAGTGCGTTGTCATATAATTTTGGTTTTCTGGTAGTAGAATATACGAAAAAAAAATCTGATCAAATTTATTTTAAATTAAATTAATCGAGTCTTATTAATCAAATTAATCTAGTCAAATAATAATAACAGTTAGTTTCTATTAGTTCCTAAATACTATACAGGGTGAGTTTTCTACGATCGATGTTCTCTATGGGTATCTCGGAAACTACTGGAGATAGAGAGTCGGTTAAATGAGGAAAGAACAATTGCAGTTTTGTGGGGTCATAAATATGCGCCTTTCGGATTTTTCGGAGAAGTTCAAGGCTTACTAGATATTTAAAAAAAAACAAATTTTGGCTATTTTAAAACTTGTCTCTAATATACATATAATCTCCATTATAATCTACCGTACGATCGAATAAAAACGGCGTCAACGATGGCTACGAAATGAAGATCGCTGTCATTTTATATGTAAAATTATATGGGAAATATCATCGATCGTCATTTCATAGCCATCGCTGACGCCATTTTTATTCGATCATACGGTATTTTAGACAAAAAGTTTTCAGATAAAAGTTGTAGATAATCACATACCTAATGAGTTTGTTTTCTGTTTTTTTTCCTAAAGCCTGTCATTTTTGACATATGACACAAACATTATGTTTTTTTTTAAATGGCAACCATAGTTGGCCATGACTTCATAAAAAGCGCCATTTTTTAAGCTTTTCAGCGATATAGGTATAATATGTTTTTTTCGAAAAATTACAAGTTATAGCCAATTCTTTTCTTCCTTGGCTAATTTCCATACCAATAATACCATGCCAGTTAGTTGGCATCAAAAATGTAAAAAAGTTTTATGTTTTAAAAAAAAATATCGTAAAATTCGTAAAGAACTCAATTTAGAATAAAATAATCTAAGAATGAAATGATTCTTTTATAAACCTGCATTAAATCAAATTAAAATAGGTATGTAACTTTTTTTTAATATTAATTAACAACCAATTAGCATTATCATAAATTATAAATAATGTACCAACATATCGAAATAATAATCTCTTTGTTAATACGGTTTAGAATTCTTAAAATAACAGGCAAAAATAATCCACAATTTACAATAAAATAAAAGTTTCGTTTAAATTTCTTAATCAGCTGATCACTATTAAAGTTCGCAGAAACCCGGGCTGTTTTATTACATTACTCTGAGGAAAATAACGAAAATAATCGATATTTTTGAGTCCGCCCCGAAAGGTTCACGATTTGTCCTCCAGTTGGCAGCACATTTTGTCTAGTCAGTTGATCAACTTTAAGAATATATAAACAAGGATAAAAGTTTGTAGTAAATGTAGTGTAGACTCTTGAGTTAGCTGCTGCAACTCAAACAGTGCAGTTAGAAAGACTATTTATTTATTTTGAACTATACAATAATTTTCAAATCATTTTATTTATATTTTAATTAAGTCTTAAGTTTTAAGACTTAATATAAAATACAATTTTTTTTTGGGCTTTTGTAATTTTTGTTTAATCAGAAAGAATAAATTAATATCTATGTATCTATCTATACCTGATCCAGCGTTTTTGCAGCCACCTCAATACCATTAACTTCCAAAACCTCATCGTTTACAGCTAGAAGACCTGTGGACTCAGCTAGACCACCCGGAACGAGCCTTGATATAAATACTCCTGGAATTTTCTCTAACCCTAAAAGAAAAAATTATATAACTTTCTTTAAGTTGGCAAAAAAATAGTTTTACCATTCTGTGTAACTCTTACACTGGTTCCATCCCTTATGTAAAACCCCAAAGGTTTATCAGACCCGTGTTTAAGCAATCTAACCCTCCTGCATGTTTCTGGTACTATATCCACATCAATAATTGCAGAAACCTGCCTGAAATCATGTGGGTTTGATATGGGAAGCGTTTTGGTTCTTGCTGGGGTACCTCCCAAGATTGTGGAAATCAAATTCCTAGGTTTTATAGTACCATAACCATTTATTTCTTCTAAACTATCTCCTGCAAAGCCACCACAATACATCAATAGAAATATAGAAAATTGAAATGAGAAACCTAACCTTTTCTTTGTATGATCACCCTCAACAAGGGTTTGGCATTCATCAGGGCTCTTCTTAGGTTATCATCGTTATTAATGGGTAGTATGTCTTGGTCGCTAGAGTCTATGTAAGACACTAAAAAGGCTATATCTTTAAGCTTGTGCAGTCTCTCGAGAATCGACTGAAAATCGTCGAATTTTGCTTGGGAATTCCTCTCTAATGAGAATCTACGGAACTCTGCTTCAAACTACAAAAAAATGGAGTGCTGTAATCAATGTTGCACTAAAACTGTGACTAAAGAGAAAATGTATTGTTTTTAACACATAACCACTGATAAAACAATGAATCAATGAAAATATTTTCCATGAAGCCTGGTTTGAAAAGATTTATAACACATGAACATTACACCTAGTAAAAATAATTATAAAAAAATATGAAACAACAATCGTTCCTAATTAAAACTACCTTTTTCTTTAAAAGGATTTTTAATACTAATTAAACCAATAATTTCCGCTCTCTTTATTATATTTGAATTTCCATAACAGGTGGATAGTGGCATAGTTTTATAAAATAACCAGGCTATTGAACTCCAAAGAGATTTCTCCATTGAATTTAGAGGGTTATCAGAGCCCCATTTAAATTCCTAAACGAGTTTAAAGTACACTAAATTATACTTAAAAGGCGTTACCTTGCTTTTCACTTCTATTTTATTGTCAAAGGCTCTGGAAATTATTTTGTTCTTCGACATTTCTGTAGCATTGGGCACTCGTTTATGCACAATCTCGGACACGGATTTATATAGCGTGCGCGATATTTTTTTGCAAATAACGAAAACTAATGGGAAACTTAAACTAGAAAATTGTAAATTCCAAAATTATTTATGTTTTGGACTTCATTCTTTTGACTAATCACCGATTTGATGACTATCCGTAGAACCAGAATCAGTGGCTGTCAAACTGTCAACATTTCTTCCATTGACAGTATTGACAGTTAATTCCAGTTAATATAAAAAAAAATTCCCTAAATTATATATTTTCAAAATAGACCGCGAATCACATTCTGCAGAGCGCAAATAGAATTGAAAAAATTAGTTGTTTACTATGTGCGTATTCAAAAATTCTAAGTTTATAATTGCAGTCAAACTTTTATTAAAGAATTTATAATTATTCATCAGCTCATGAAGTACCATTAATGGCTATTGGTACAAAACTGTTTTAAAACAAAGACCCTTACGGAGCATAGAGAAAGATTACTTTCTCTATGTTATTGAAGCTCGTAGGGACGGGATGTAGGGAGGCTAAAAGCCTTTTTGAGCTCTCCATAATTCATATATTATCTAAGAATTTTACATATTGTTACGGATTCCGTGGGTCCACTATTTAAACTCACGATAAAATACTTAACGAATTTATTTGTTTCACTCTGTACACACAACTTATACTATTTACAACACAACTTATGCAACTACTATTACTCTAACGGTATTTCGCGGTATTATCAAACTTCAGACTATCTTCAGACTTCAGACTTCAGACTTCAAACTTCAAACTTGTCCAACTGTGAAAGCGCGGGCCTTATATACCCCCTGGCGGTTGTTTCTAGATTTTTCTAAAGAATTCTATAATTTTCTTTACTTTCTGGCGAATGCGCCAGGTTCCTCAATGCACGTTGCGATTATTTAGCAGTATGCAGTTATGCAACCAGTAATACACCTTGACATTGCCCCCTTCTCAAATTTGATCGTCCCGATCAAGGTTTCCTGTCTGGTATCTCTTCAATCGATCCAGATGAACTACTTTTATCTTACTTCTAGGGCTGCGTTGAATCCGGTACACAACATCATTTATCCTCTTGATGACTGTATAAGGACCTTCCCATCCTGGAGTTAACTTTGGAAATCTTCCTCTTTGCGCTGCTGTGGGTATACCATAGACTTAAAATAAAATATAGACTGAGCATCTCATTCATAAATAGCTGGAACAAGGATATATAGAAGAAGGATATTCAACTCCCTATAGCGGGCTATGTAGGAAAATATGCCGTATTTTGTCGAGGAAGACGATTTCGTCACGACCAATGATCGTCGAGTATTTGAAATTGAAAACATATAAATTGACGGTAACCTATGTTTCTTGACCAGGGGGCCATGTAAGTGAAATATTAAAAAATGGTTCCAGCAAAGTTTCCCAATTATGACGGATGATGGCTATTGATCGTCAAAATTTTTTGGACAGGAGATTTTGCTTACCGACAATAACGACGTGAGCTACGACCGGACCAGGACCAATCAGAATGATCCAGTCTTTCTTGGACATTTGCCGCTGAAGTGTGTGTTAATTTCTGTTGTGATAAGTGTGGTTGTGGGTTTGCAGTTTGATTTTCGGTTTTTGATATTATGTTAAAATTAATTTTGAAGTTTATTGTGTCATCTGTTTTATGTAATAGTACTTTTTTTCTATGATCTGATATGTTATGATTTGTTAATGTTTGTTTAACAATGTTATACAAAGAGGTTATACTTAATATACTTATCAAATTTGCATAGCCTAACTTTTTATCAATTAACTTTGTAGATTTTCAGATTATTTAATTCCTTTTTGTTTCCGTTTTGTAATTTTATTTTTAAGACATATTATGTGTTGTTTCACATTATATGTTTTAAAAATAAATTACAAATAACGAATAAAAATAATTAAAATAAAAAGTGTATTTTACAATTCCCCCGGCCCCGGCACCCCTTTGGCTAACCTATAATGTCAGCTATGTCGAGAGGTGCCGTTACGAAAATGGAACCGTTTTATTAAAGGAACTTGCGGTTTCTCATACCTTTAGTATATTCTCATGTTCTTGACTCATTTCACTTACAGATGTGATGAGATTATTATTGTAATTTATAGATCCAAACGTTTTTGAAAAATAATGTATTTTAAAAAGTTATTTCCTAGAGTTTGGTTTGGCCTTCTATATTTTTGGTATTTGTCTACTAATAAATAATATCTTATTTTGTATTTCGATGTATGGAAATCCACAAGTTTTGTATCTGAAGCCGCAAAGAAATTTCGCTCTATAGTGAGAAAAAATGTTATTATATCTTTTTAGACGTGTAGAATTACAAAATTTCTTATTTCAGATGTTTCTAAATGTGAGTGCATATCAAAAATTTAAATATATACTTGATATATTATTTCAAGTTATATGCTTTGACATTTTTTGAAGTAAACAAATATTGAAGAAAGTGTTGTGCCTTCACAGAATTTAAATTGGCATTAGGAATAGATTTCCTTGATTTAGTAATGATATTGCTCATAGAAATTGATAATGTGAAGAATAACAATACAGGAACATAGAATAACAAGAAAGAAATTCTAGCAGCAAGTTAGGTTATGAGATAAATTTTATTTATATAGTTTGTTTAGAGTTTAGTTTGAAAAAAAGTTAAAACAATTATTATTGTCCAGGTCATATTTGATAACTGTTGTTAATTGATAACATATTACAGGGACACAGTAAAAAGACAAAACATTTAGACCCTTTGAAAGAGAAATGTTTGCAATGGATATTAATAAATTCTAGCCAATTTGTACGATATACAATGCAGGCAATATTTCTGCCTCCTAATGCACTATTCGCGTAAAAGAAGATGTGGGTATTGTATTTATAGGTAGTTAATGATACATGGAATATATTTCTATATTATTGCAATAACGATGTCTTTATGATGTATTTTTTTAGAACAGATTTATTATTAGTTGGCTAGTGTGTTAGTAGGATAGCCATTGGTAGTTATAAAGTATGAAGTTGTCAGGTATTAATAATAGGAATTGATCAAAGCTATTATTGTGATATTTATATTGTGAATTTAAGTAGTTAGAGTTTTGGTTGTTTAATAAACGAATTAATGTGCTTATTGTGTATCTAATTAAAAGAACAATGAAAAGTTGAATACCATAGGGGTACGTATGTTATACAAAGAATTTCCATCAACATTTTTTTGGTTATATACTTGTACTGATATTTGTTTCTTGAACTAAAGAATTATACAGTACCTACTACACAATATAATAATCTGCAGCTACATAGGTAAGTAGCTGTTGGTAATTAAATTTTTTATCTAATATAATATCTAACATCAGAAATATTGTTAATTATCAACTATAAACAACTAAGAACTAGAATTATCAACTATAAACACAATATAATATACTGTATCTTAAGCAATATGTAATTATTTAACAATTATTTTTTTTGGGAAATAAAAACTGGTACTAAATTCTTTTTGACTATTTAATTTCTAAGTCACAAATAATGGTGGACAAATAGCAAGAAAATTATACAAGTAAAACATAATTTTAACTTATTTCTCTAATGGAATTTTGGTATTGATCTACTTAGTAGGATATGCAGTTTATCATATTTTTGAATATTTATATTCAATATTGTTCAGGAACAGCCCAATTACTCTGAAAAAAAAATATATGGTCAAATTCTTTGAAAAGAAACTTTTAAAATCAGTAATGATAAAAAAATATATAATTGTTGTATAGCAGAACCAGGGGACACAGAATTAGGGGAATTAACAATAGATTATTAAAAACTGCCTTCTCTTAAAAAAGTAGTATTATATGCACTTAGAAAGACTATAAAGGATATAAGTACGCATAGAAAGAAAGTAAGTATCTATACTACTGATATATATATATATAACTATATATGAATACGATACCTACAGTATACAATATTACTAGTATAAAAATAACAGCAAGCTATGGCACACTTTAAAATAAAAAAAGCAGCATACTATTCAGGTATGTATCTAAGTAAAATTTTCTCAAAAATATTAGAATATGAAATAAATTGCAACTAAATTTTAATTAATAAACATAAACAAATAAAATTGTCAGTGTTATTAAAACTTTATGCAAATATATGTTACCTTAATACTTTGTCTTTAATCCTACTCTTCTGACATGGCTTTTCAAACTTATCCCCAAATCTCAATTCTTGTTATTAAGAATAATATTTATTGAAATTATAATTAAAATTTTAATTTCTTATGTCCTTAAATTATTTATATCGTGTTATACATAATACTTACATAAATATTCAATTTAAAAATAGATCAGCACTTGAACGAGTGAATATAAAATAGTATATTATCAATTTCTATGAGCAATATCATTACTAAATCAAAGAAATCTATTCCTAATGCCAATTTAAATTCTGTGAAGGCACAACACTTTCTTCAATATTTGTTTACTTCCAAAGGGCAAAGGGTATAACTTGAAATATTTCAAGTATATTGTTATAATCCCGTCCTCATTTTAATCAAATTTGTAATATTAGTTTAGGAATGTCCCATCTCTAATAAAAACCTTCATACCTTTGAGGTCATAAACGACCCTACAATATAATTCTAATTGATAACTTTAACTATTACTGTTGGGAATTTTGATCATAAATTTATATAGCTTTCGCAGACGTCTGTCTATCTGAACAATGTAAGTTTAGGGCAGTGTCGTCCACTGCTCTGAATATTAGATTAAGGATATATAAATTGTACTGTACGCCTCTGGCATTTCTGTAGCTTAGATATTATTTAAGGAACTGCAAGACAGGCCCTCACATCTCTTTTTGCTGAAACCTTCTTTTGCTCAACACTCTTTTACTTTCGCTCTTCAACTCTCTTTTTACTCTTCAACACGTTATTATTTTTCACAGTTTCCCTCAGGGTAACTATTGTAATCAGTTTATCATAATTAAAGTTAAGTTATATTAAAAAACAACAGTGTACATTAATTCCACACCCGAAAAGACCCTCAACAAGTTGGCCCTTCTGAAGAGGACCACAACAAAAATTGGCGCTGCGGACAAGACTGGATAGTACGGGACAAAAGGATTCTCAAGGAGGAAAAACAGGAAACTGGTCCAGGAGAATACCGTTGGTAAGTGGAATTTGTATATCTTGTTTAGATTTTGTATCAAACGTTTTATATAACTTACTAGTATTTTTTTTAACTCCGTTAAAAAGTACTTTACTAAATTTTATTAATCATTTTTTAACTAAATTTATTAACAAAGTTTATCATGAATACCAATTCAAATATCGATTCACTATCGTTAGATTTCATATGTAGGTTGATTCCTTTCGGATTTAGCGGTAATAGAAACGAATTAGGTCAATTTTTAGCAAATTGTAATAGTGCTAATGAGTTAGCAAGTGAAAATCAAAAATTGCCTCTATTATATTTTATATTATCAAGAATATCAGGTACAGCAAAAGAGCAACTAACATCACAAAATTTCGAATCGTGGGAAAACCTACGACAAAAGTTAAAAGATTTATATAAAGAGAGAAAACATTATGTCCAATTAATAGAAGAGCTAAATAACTGTAGACAAAATTTTAATGAATCCGTAGATGATTTCTTTCAACGTTTAGAAGTTTTAAACCATCGTACAATTTCTTCTGCTCAGCAGAGTTGTCGAAACGATGCCGAATTACCGGGTAAAACTCAAACTATACACGATTTAACCTTAAACAGATTCATTTACCATTCTAAGCCGGAAATTTCACAAATGTTAAGATATAAAGGATTTAATTGCATTAAGGAGGCTCATAATGCGGCTCTCTGTGAAGAAAGAATATTAAATATGTTAAAAACTAATAAAAGCAACCAATACTGTAAGATATGTCGTAACAATTCGCATCCACAAATAATTGTCGCAAAAAATCATCCGCAATCTAATGAAAATTACCGAGTTTATTTTAACAAACACAATTCTAATAATTCCAATAATCATAATTTTAATCATACATTTAATCAACCTTCTTCAAATAGTCAACATAATAATATTAAACAATGCAAATATTGTAAAAAGTACGGACATACAATAGACGAATGTAGAAAATTACAATATAAAAATTCTCACAGAGTATCGAATCAAAACACAAATTCTAATGAAATAGAAAATAAAAATTTTCAAAGGGTATCGAATCAGAATATACCTAATCAAATACCTAATGAAGCATCAAATATTCGTTCATTCACAGATACTCAATCAAATTCAAAAATTCTTAGTGACGATAATAAGTCTATATTTTTAGAACTTAGGTCTGATTTTTCTAATAATAAAGATAAAACATTAAGATTTTTACTAGATACAGGTGCTAGTGTATCTTTAATCAAATTAGATAAGTTAAATCCTGAAATTACTAAATTTTTTCCTAGCGAGAAATTAACCTTACACGGTTTAAGTACAGATTCTCCTGTATTAACGGCGGGTAGTACTATAATTCCATTTAATATTAGAAATCATACATTGAAAATAAAGTTCCATATTCTAAATCAGAAAACAAACGTTCCTTATGACGGTCTGATCGGATACGACTTTATTAAATCACAAAACGCGCAAATTGATTTAAAAAAGCATTTATTTTTTCTTGACTCGCTACCTTTTCCCTTACATCTAAAAATGAATATTAATAACGCTAAAACACTTAACATCTTTACTAATTCATCAGATTTATTTAGCAGAAATAAATTATTAAATCAAAACCTTAGAGTAGAACATTTAATTATTGAAGAAAAAGAACATATTTTAAATTTATGTACGGAATATAATGATATTTTTCACCTACCTGGCAATAAATTAACTTGTACTCAAACTATGAAACACGAAATTAATTTAAGTAATCAAAAACCAATATCCGTTCAAACTTATAGATATTCGAAAAAACAAAATGTATCTGGACAACAAAACTTTCAGATTGTCTATAAACAAGGCAGAATAAACTCTAATGTAGATGCTCTATCACGAAATATCAACATTAATATAATATCTAAAGACGACGATTATCAAAATTTTATTAAATATCATTATCAAACCTCAGAAATTACCCCGAAACTTGATATTAAAAACTCAAATTTATTCGATAATTTACCTGCTGCTCTTTATTTTTCTTCAGATTTGGACGAAGATAATCCATTTTCACAACATATTAAAGATAATTTCGACTACAATATTAATCAGATAATATCTCCTAACTTACATTCAATTTACAAATTAAAAAATCATAATAAATTATGCTATTTAATGAATACAAAACATTTTCATTTTGATAAATTAAGCTATAAGGATGTATTTTATTCTCTGCGTAATTTAAGAACTCAGTTAATAAAAGATGATATGAAAACAATAAATTTACCTGACATTTCACTTTATTGTACACATTTAAAAAAATCTATGTACTACGAAATATTCATTATTTATTTAGAGATACCAATATTAACGTACATGTCATTAATAGAGAAAAGTATAAACCTGAGACTAAGGAAGAGATTGAACAAATATTAAAAGAAAATCACGATTCTAAATTAGCCGGACACTCTGGTTATACTAGAACTTATAAAAAGATTAAGGAAAATTATAAATGGAACAATATGAAGAAAGATATCAAAAAATATATTAAACGCTGTTCTTTGTGCCAAATAAATAAAATTAATTATAAACCAAATAAGGTCCCTATGGAAACTACATCCACCAGCCAAAAGGCTTTCGAAAAATTAGCGATTGATATAGTTGGTTCATTACCATTACCGAGAATGGAAACAGATTTATTCTTACAATGCAAGACGACCTAACTAAATACTCGTACGCTGTTCCAGTTCAAAATCACGAAGCGCATACTATGAATGAACTCACTAAATTCATTGTACTGTTCGGAATACCAACTAAAAATCCTTTCTGACCAGGGAAGTGATTTCATGTCCAAATTAATTAAAGAACTTTTTAAATTATTTAAAATAGGGCATTTAACCAGTAGCCCATATCACCCTCAAACAAACGGTGCTCTTGAGCGATCGCATCTTACGCTCAAGGAATATCTTAAACATTATATAAATAATAAACAAAATAATTGGGATGAACTTATACCATTTGCAATGTTTGCGTATAATACACATATTCATACTTCCACAAATTTTTCACCGTATGAATTATTATTCGGTAATAAGGCTTACCTTCCAACTACCTTAACTCAAGAACCAGAATTTAATTATTCATACGATGATTATGTAACTAGTCTCAAACAAAAACTTAATTTAACACAAACCCAAGCGAAAGAAAATATAAATAAATTAAAACTTAAATCAAAAGATATATTACGTAGCGATGTTTGATCTATCAAGTTGTACGAAGACCACCGAAGACGAATTCATATGCAAGCATCCTCAAGTTATAAGAATTCAAGAACTTAACATAACCCCATTAGATCTTGAGCCAGTGAAGATAACAAATTTAAAATTGGATGAACTGAACTTCGCTAATCACAAGCTTAACCAGTTGGACGATCTTTTAGACATACAATTGAAGAAACCATTTATTGTGCAACATTCACACTGGTATACTGTTGGACTATCAGCAATTGGTTCAATTGTAACGATCATCTTATTGTATAATATTCTAAAATGATGTGAACTGTTCAACCTGCTAAGAAGATTACTATGCTGTACCAAGGAGCCCAGGACCCTCTCTGAAGGTTGCTGTATTAAACTATTTAATACAAATATTAATACTCCAAATCCAATAACTCAGGCCCAATTCGAACAAATATTGGAAGAAGAAGCTGGAAGAAGTGGACTCCCAAGTAATCGTTCAGCCGTGGAATTTTTAAACTTAAATGGTCGACGCTCGACTAGAACACCATCGGTTCATATGGACTAATTAAAGACTAAAATGATCAGTGTATTTTTACTTTTTTTTATTTTTTTTCTCAAACTTTTACTCTTAGAATAGTGTAGTTATTGTGTGTATTGTTTATTGTTTAATTTGACGATTTTTTTTTCTCTTAATTTTTTTTGTTATAAAAAAAAATTTTTCTTAGGGGGGAGGTGTTATAATCCCGTCCTCATTTTAATCAAATTTGTAATATTAGTTTAGGAATGTCCCATCTCTAATAAAAACCTTAATACCTTTGAGGTCATAAACGATCCTACAATATAATTCTAATTGATAACTTTAACTATTACTGTTGGGAATTTTGATCATAAATTTATATAGCTTTCGCAGACGTCTGTCTATCTGAACAATGTAAGTTTAGGGCAGTGTCGTCCACTGCTCTGAATATTAGATTAAGGATAGAAAAATTGTACTGTACGCCTCTGGCATTTCTGT